TAATAAATTATATTTGTGTCAGAGGATAGAAAGTGTCCTACTCGGAAAGCAGTTGTTCGTCGACTGAGCCTCGCAGGCTTGAGCTCACCGGAAGGAACAATTTTTGCGACCGACTGGCTACGTCATTGCCTTTTTCTCTGCACTGGACTGTCTCGTGAGGCATCCGCAAAAATAGTTTCGACCGTGAACATAATCGTACGTCCGGTTCGTTTATCAGGAGGATGCTCCTGAACCAGTATCGCGCAGCCTCTCTAAACCCGCTCTGTATTTTTATGCGAATCATTGCAAAAGGACCCGCAGATTATCGTGAAACAGTGGTGGCCGTGAAACGTTCATGCGAACTCATAGAATTTAAACAATTTCAGAAAGACATAGAATTTCATTTTCTATATTAAAAGTAGAAGACTCGTCCTAAGTAATATACTTATGAAGACATTACGTTAAACTCATTCAAAATGTCCATTCAAGGGGTTATCTCTTTTTAACATATCCCTTCCTTCCAAATAGTTTCTGATTATATTGCCACGTAATTTGAGACGAAATCATGTAAATTCTGAAAATTGTGTTTGTTTCAATAATTCTTTAATTTTTCTCTCGTCTTTCTTCGAAGCATCTCTAGGAAAATTCATCTCAATTCGTTTCCATGGTATGCTTAGATATAATTTTTTTAATGTCCACGATATCTTTTAATCTCCACACTACAAAACTACACCAAAGCATTCACGAACCTCTTCAATTATCTTGGACCATTAAATCTCTGAATAATCGCATCTTCTTGGGATTTATGGAAAATGGAAATTACCTGTAAAATCCCTCGTTTTCGCACAAATTGGATACCTTGAAATCGCTGCTCGAATCATATTTTTTTTTTTTTTTTTTAACAACACGTAGACGACGCATACGCGCCGATGAATAATTCTCGGGGAAATCGAGACAATGCAACGTAACGCAAATGTTGAATCTTTTTGGTTCGTGTATACACGTCAACGATCCGAGAGCAAAGGTGACACAGTCGTTCAGGAAATTTGCAGCAGTCACATGCCGTGCGTCACGTATTCTTAGCCAATGTTTTTCTCGCACGCGTTCATCTACGATGGGAATTATCAAGCCGGCACCCAGTGACCTCGCGTCTATCTCGAAAATTCAACAATCTGGCACTTTCTGGGCATGGTTTCACCAAGATCCGCTTTGTTTTGCCGCCGAGGTACACAACAGGATGTACGTTACCGATTAGGGCTCCTAACTGTACACTTGTACGAACGAGCATGTTTACATTTTTTTTTTTTTTTTTTGGAGTAGTGGAATTCCTCTCCATCTCTCAAAGCCAACTGTATTAGTAAACTAGTTTCAAATAAAATATTTTAAAATAAAAATTATTAGCAAAATAATTTACAATGAATTAGTAACTTGATTGCGTGCTACTGTGTACGCAGTGATGTATATCTATATCGCCAAGTCGTATTGTAGCAATAACACCACGTAATTATGTAGAGTTATTTAGGAGAGGCATATCGGCCACGTTTACGGATAAGTGGCGATACAATAAAAGACAAGCGATATCTGGCTCGATCTTGCGTATAAAAACGCGATTGCGATCGCAAAAGTCCCCAAAATACAATGGTACCCCAAAGTATTATGGCGCTGGAAGGTCGTACGATGACGGCACATGAAACCGTCTAAAAATATTTGTTCACCCAAAATAAAACCCAAAAAGTTCGCGGCGGTAACGCATTATCAGAATTTCAGCCGTGATAATTATTGCTCAGCCTTGAAGCAATCCAGAGTGTATGACGAAATTTCTACGGCAATATCTGGCGAAAGATCGCGCGAGTATTGAAAGAGCCAGTCTCGAACAAAAACGAAGAGGGAAGAATTGCGAATAATCGAGCCAACGAACGACTGCAAAGTAATCCTCGTCGCGAATTTAATTATCACCGAGGATTTCCGACGCAACTTGCAATCGTTATTGCCTGTTTCCTCGGTGGAAGTTGCTATCCATGCGTGACAGTGACTCTTGCTAGGTAAAGTTCACGATTATCGACAGAAAAATGTTTAGTATTCCAATATTTTCGTCGTTAAAGTACATCAAACGTAAAAGTAGTTGATATACAATTTTATAAATATTTTCAACACATACACGTTTGTATACTGCTACGATATCTACATCAATGTGTCTAGCTGTTTGGTCAGGTCTGGTCTTGATATCTCAAAATCGATACATCGTTATATTAATATTTGATCGAGATTCTGTCAATAGTTTTCATCGCGGTGTGGAAACTTTGCACAACTAATCAAAGGACGCGAAACGTTAAACAGAAGATTATTAATCTTGTACAACCATTGTACGTACGTTTGATCAGAGATACGTAATAAAGCCTCGATAAGGAGAAGAATGTGGCAATTGTGTTTGACAGTGCAAACTCGGAACCCGATTCTCTTTTTCTCATTCACGCAAAAGCGATGTTTACATTCTGTTTTATCGAAAAATGCATTATCAGGGAGGGATGGCGTTTATTACCAGACACTGTTTGATTTAACGTTCGAGCAATTAAAAATTACTGTGATAAAGTGTCGAGTGCTTTTATAATTTTGTTAATTTTCAAAAATTTCTCGATATGAGTGATTTTCATTTTTTGACGATCCTTTCATGGCCTAACGTTTATTTTGATCGAGCTTGCTGCTAATTCCGTAAAAATCGATCGTTCGCTCGAATAGTTTGGCATCTTCGTATCCTCTTCTCTATCCATCGTTATTTTCGTCAAAGTTGATCGTACATTTGAATCATCAGCCCGTTGAATGATCCAACCAGCACCCACGTAAGTGGCAGAATGGAGTGCGTTAAAAAAAAAGCACTAGGTTGACCAATATCCGGTCTGAGGCTGAGCTGGTTTGGAAATTCGAAGGCCTGGCCTGACTCGAGCGTGATCCCGAACACCACGCAATCAACCATATCTCTTCAGGCAGATATACAGTACACACGAATGTACGAGACCACGTTACAATAATCTTCGCCGATTTTGCATATTGTACGTTGCATCAGAGTACGAATGTACTTTCCAAGGGAAAACACCGCGACGTTTCGACGATAACTTTGGGCGATAATTTTTTCTGTAATTTGATAACTGCAATTTGCGTCACGAAAGCACCATTACTCAGACTTATTATTTTGGGAAATTATCAATATCGACTCGACGACATTGACGAGATTTAAAGATAACACCCGGAGCGTTTTAAAACCTGCAACTTATCTTTGCGTACAATTCGTTTGAAGATTTGAATCCTGAACCGGAAATTGTTTGGAAGGTTCCTTTTATCGTTTCATTGTTAAGTGAATCGAGTTTGAAAGTGTGTTGGAAATTCGATACTGCAAAGATATAGCTGCGGGGAATTAAATATAACGCTTTCGAATATTTCCAAGAAATTGTGTAAATAATAAATTTGTGTGTCATTTTTATTATCGATGTACAACATGCAAGGTGTTTCGTGTAAATGATATAAATACAAAGGTATTTGTTACAAAGGCGGACATTGTATGGAGTAAATAATCATAATTCCACATCCGCTTAGAAACGGCAAAGTATCACGTGGCTCGTTTGCCACGCCCGTTCTTAAAGGGTTAAGAAATGACTCAAAAGCGGCAACATGCTTCTATTTCATCGCGGCAAAAAATACGTGTAACGATGATCATTTTCTCACGGTCATGCCAAAGTACGTGGGTGAGGTTATATGCCCTTAGTCGCCGACGATTGTTCAAAGTGTGTCTCCTGCGGTTGCTAAGGAACGTTAAGGTAGGTCAAGGGCACGTCGTTTATGCGAAACGAATATCTTGGAAGGAATCTGCTTTCTTACGACTGGTTTTCGTTCATTGAAAAAAACGTTTCGGCCAATCGAACCCGTTCGATAATTTTAAGGAATTTTTACCGAATGAATAGACATCGGATTAGATATCCATGTGCGTGTTTCTGTTACGAAACACGACTACTATGCGCGTGAAAAATGTTAAGAATCTCAGATCAATACGATTAATAAGTTGCCAACATTTGGATGATGTAAACCAAGTAATTAGTGTTACAGATAAGGTGTTGTAAGCGCACGAAACATTTGCGTATACTTATGACCGCGTGTCGCGGTTTAGGATGCCCACGTACGCACTGATGTGGCCAGTACCGTATTGTAAAGTGGCGGTGCCACCTGTTTATCGTCTCGACGATGCGATGAACTCGTGTTCCACCGTTCCCTATCAATATTCTACAATGTCTTGTAACTTGGCCGCGTGTTGCATCACCGGCGACGATTAATCGTAAATTAAAAGCGTAATTGCAAGTGTCATTAAAGTCAAAGATAGAAGTGGGGAATCGATAATGTGACCAATGGGGAAACGAAAAGATATATGTTTATGTTAGGGTTAATATCTTTGTGCCTTAATTACTTGGTGTCCACGGTATCGTTTCCGATAACATGTTCAAGCAATTACATTTCTTATTACAATATCAACTGTTTTTCTTTCAATGGGAATTCCCTAAAGTTGATACACCATTCGTGACTACTACAATTTTGTTATGCATATGACAAAAACAAGCTATTGAGCGCATTAAAGAAGAGAAATAATATTAAATATATCTAATTAAAAACATACAGGTGATAAAAGTATCGACACAAGTTCAAGCGTGTATTTAAAGTATAATTGCTTCCAAATTATCCCACACGGAGTTCATTTATATTATCGATGCTTTCGTTATTTAGCGATTAGAAAAACTAAAAAGTATCTTACCGTAGAAAATTTAGAGGAAAAAGCTTTCTCCGTTTACGATTTTCCGCCGAAAATTTCAGACACATTTGCACAAAAGTCGAAAAATACACGAGGGGCACCGTTTCCACTGGTTCGTTGCGCTGACACTGCCGTTACACCGTAACGCGCACGCGCGACCGTCCCCCACCACGCTACTCAGCCACCGATTCCGTCCGACAATTTGAGGCGGCGACCGTGGCTTCAGTCGTTTGCTGCACAATGGCGCGATCGGTTTGTGCTTGCTCTTACTGCTGCCGCCGTCGTTTCTGAGCGGAGGGTCGGCCCAAAACGTTGGACCGTCCGTTGCGTGGGATACAAATCTCTCTGCACCGTCTCCCTCGTTCCGTAACCGCTCAGCTCTCCACGTTTCTCACGAAGACATCTCGTAGTCTACGTGACGAAAGAGGAACATCAACTCGACGGCTGGTCGAACACGAATCGCGCGAGTCGTGAGGAGAAAGACACTACCAACCACCATCCAGGTAGAAGCTAACAGGAAGAGGCCAGGTTTGATCCAACGCACGCGCGCTATTCGAAAATCCAATACACCCGATACCATCCGGGAATTCGTTTTTCGAGCAGACGGCGGTTTGTCAACAACGTCTTTGGGGATAAATCGACTACGTCTGACCGTTTCATCATCCCAGACACCCGTTCAGGAACGTACGGCGACAACAGGAAGAACATTATAAAGGTAATACATGCTTGTCCCGCTGTACGCCAAACATATTCAAAGAGAAAGAAGGGAAAGCATCGCGAATTGTGTACGCATTACACGTATTTTGCGTATCGACCTCGCGCGAGTACAGTGCAAAGTGCAGTGATTATTATTGACGCGTATCGGATCGATGCCAGGCTCTTTACTCGTATCATACATACATATATATGTATTTACTTTGGTGCGCTATGCCCCGATAGCAATGCACTCCTGCTCTCGTTTCCTATCAAGTCGTTTACTTTCGTAATTGACAATTTAATCAATTGGAATTTTAAACTGACGCGAGAGGCTCGAAAAGTTGACGGTTAACATCCAGGGTCGAATCGATGCAGTGGTTTTAGGAAATCTTAATTCGGAACTGACCATATCTATAAATTGTCGGGAGCAGGCGTGCCACGACTCGAATAAGTGTCTGTAGGCTTCCATGTCTCCAAAATCGAAACTGTAATTTGTTGTCATCAGTTGATCTCTGTTCAATTCGCATTAGGAAGTTTGACGAAGGCCCGACGCAACCCATCGACAGAAAGTCATGGACTGCGTGAGCGGACGTATTAGGCAATTTATTTCGCGGTATTGCGTCACGTTCGCGCGCTATTAATGCAACCGGTGCCCGCAATATCGTCGTGACAACTGTGAAACTCCGCCATTTTGACCTTACCGAAGGATATCTGCTCTCTGCTGTCTACTTGGTAGTGTGCGTGGCTAGTGTTCACGCGTTTCGACACGCGCAACCCCGTGGACGCAATGCTTTACTAAATTCCCAGCTCGCTATTTCGTCAGATTCTCGTTCATTCAATAAACGTGGATAGGGGACACGGAAAAGTTCCAGGGCTCCTCAATCTGTCGGCACATGACTGACTTTACGTTCGAATGTCATTCGTCGCGCGATCCGAAGATAACAATGTTTTTCAACAAATCGAGAAATCTAACGAATGTAGTCGGCATCGATAATTTTTTTACGGCAGTTTACCGTGTTATATGTATACGAATATCGATTATTTTCGCTGGAAACAAAGTATCGTGAAATTCCTAACCTAACCTAAAACGTATGTCACATGTTTAAGGATGATATGAAATTGATATTAAAATAGCGACGAAAGTGCAACGATCTGTAGTGAACGAAGGCAATGTAGATTAAAATTAGGAGATCGTGAACGATTCGTAATTTGACTATAAAACACGTGGGTCTTGTTTCACAGCAACCGGTGTTTTTGTTTCGTTATTGACTCGATACATTTAATTAAAAATTTCAGAACTACGCGAAAATACTTTTTCTACTCAACTTCTCAAAACTTTGTTTACTTAAATTCAGCTCGTAAATTATACGTCGGAAGATGTTGGCAAACATCATTCATCGATTCATCGATGTCGGGCATATCCGTTAGATGTATCAGTAAATCTTGAGATAAAAATGACGAATTAGATTTGCGATCGACCATTGATTATCTTTCCAAGAAAACCAGTGGGGTGAACACTTGTCACACACGTCCCTGATGTTTGGAATGGCAGGAGTTTTGCGCAAGTGCGTTGATATCATCGTAATGGCGCGTTTCGCGAATATCCCGATAGTCGCAACTTGTGACAACGATAAACTCGAGCTATATAGAGTCAATTGTGTAATACGAGTTTGTGATTACAAGCTTGGATTTTTTTTTTCTATTTTCAAGGTTAACGTACGTATACGTTATTTGAAGGCTACAATAGGTAGAATCTAAACGAAACTGCATGTCGTGGTAAATAAATATGGTTGCCGGTAACCTGTAATTTTGTCTCAATTTCGAATTCTCGTGGTCTCCTCGCGACGAATCTCGCATTGCATATCGTCAAGGACTCGGAATTTACATATCCTCGAGTTTCGACAGTCGTTTTTGGCGAAACAATATTTACAGAAGGAAGCTTACACTCGTTACTTTTGTCAATACAATTAATTATGACAAATCATATTTAACTCTTATTTTAATTAAATTCATATAACATTCTTTATATGAAAACATTTTGAAACCTACACCACTATTTAGGTTACGTATAGATTCATCGTAGTCCACATATTATATTGCATTCAATATGAGACCAGATTGAAAAGTTGGAAAGCTTCGAATGTTTTTACTTAAACTACAATTATAAACGATTGAACGTAAACATAGAACTAATTTCCACGCTTAACATAAAGGGTACCTGAAACAAGACAATAAACTGTACGCGAGATACTATCTGTCACGCGTAATAAGATAAAAATAGACCAGAAAACCTTCGATATAAATTCGGCTTGCCATTAGTGGCGTTAATAATGCCCGAGGGATTATCTTGCATCACGTTTTATCATTTTTCTGCAACTCGGCTTCCTTGGCTGGATAGAACGTTAAGGCGCAACGACCGCCTTATACCGATATCCCTGACCTTACGGTGTCCCCTTCTCCATAGAAATTGCGCACAAGGCAGGACGAATGTCGAAACGTCGTCTTTTGAAATTGTCCGTGAATCACATAGAGTTAATGAACGGAACTCTTGTCGTTCGAACTCCATTACGAATACGATAAATAAATGAAGAATTTTACGCGTATAATATTGCGTTGTAGGTAGATCTGCAACATTGGGTATCGGAATCAGCATTTATCCAAGGATAAATGTTCGCTTTTTACCTCGGATAACTGGTTATAGAAGTATCCGTCATTATTTTTCTTTGTTACTCACGCAAGCGATCCTTCATCACGTGTGGTGTATATGTATAGAAATACGTACTTTAATTCAGGTTATATTTGAACACGTTGTTCTGATGATAAGTTGAACCAGTAGTTACCATGGGAAATAGACTATCTGTCGGTAAAGTGTTAAGACTGACAAAACCATTATTGTAGCGTTTATTATATCGATAAGCGATATTCTTAAATATTCTCTAGAAAATATTCGATTGGCCCATTTCGTTAATGTTTTATTTTCTTCTATGTTGCAGAGCCTTCTTGAAATACGGTCCTACTATATCAGATACGATCTCCGTCCAAGGATCCAGCGGTAACACGAAGCAACGCTGCATGGGCCCAAGCACAAGTGATATTCTTAACTATAGTTAACTCGTATCTACTACGGCGTTCTTATCCATAGAGCTTTCAGTCGTTAATTCGGCCCGTTGATAATCGATGACTGTCGCATCTACCACGTTGGTAATCTTGTGACGTGAAGTGTGTTCATGGAATTTTTCCGTTTAACGGTCGACTGACAATAATTACGATTTTTAAAACTGTTCGGATCCGATGGAGCGCACGCTCGTTGCCTGAGACTAGAACTTTTGTTGCGTATAAAAAAAAAGAAGGAGAAATAAACGAAAGCAAGTCGTTGGTGGTAGTGTCGCGAGTGTAAAAGAAAAATAACGGTGGGTGCGTGAAAACGGCACAATATGAGAGTGACAGCCGCCGCCCGGCAGCATCCTCTACATCTGCAAGTGACTCGCACCAACAATGGAAAGTTTCTGTTCAGTCCGAACAATAACCAGGAGATCAGTCAACAGCCTACGAGCGACGAGACGAACCCGGTGCCGGTAGTCTTCCCTAGTTACGAACCGTTGCCCACCGATCATCATGGACCCGCCATACTTGGTGATCGGTATCTGCTTCTTGGTCCGGCCGAGGGGAGCGCTCTGTACCGATGTGTCGACGTACACAGCGGTCAGCAGCTCGTCGCAAAGGTGAGTCTCGAACGTTCAACCTTGTCTATTCGCGATATTTATTAGAATAGGGTTTTTCGATGCGACGTGTCCTTACGGTAACAAGCTAAAACTATAGACACTCTAATCCGAGTCACGAAATAGAACGTCAAGTTTAAGTCGGATTCTGTCATTTTTCAGCTATTTCTTAATTTTTACATTTCGTATATATACATATAAAATTCTGTTATTCGTTGAACGTACTTTTCATAGTATAATCCAGATTGGAACTTTTATCAAGCGAAGAACACATAAAAAATTGTAGATGTTTCATTCCGTTATTTGCCAATTAGCCAAGTTAGCTGGATGTGAATGCCGCAATAGGCTCGGTGGATAATTGTGCAACCCTTGTCGAGTTGCACTTGAAACAACAATAACGTTACGCTCTACGTATTCGTTACATTGAAGAAATATCAAGTTGCACCCACTATTCAAATTACTCGTACTTATTTCGGTTTAATCGCATTTAATAAGGTAATTGGTTAATTACACCTACGTGGTCGGTTTATTGCAACTTCCTTTTACACATTGCACAGTTTATACTTATTGAGAATTTTCATTTTTTAAAAATTCAATACCATCGAGAAGTTCACTCTTGTAATTACAATGTAATTACAAATGTATGCCTTTCAATTTTACTAAAAACACGAAAGACATGAAAAATTTAAGTGATTCCAATTTGATGGCCACTCAATAAAAGAGTCCCAGCCTAGAATCAACGTACACAGAATAGTATCCGACGGTAAAATTCTTTTAACGTTGCAGTCGACGTAGAAAAAAAAAAAGAAGCAATCAGCGGTTTCGAAACGTTTCGTGTTTTATCCTTGATAGAGCAAACGCATCCTGCCTCCAGGATATATGTCACGTAAGACTCGAAGGCAGGTGTGCAACAACGTCGCGGAACATGTCCAATAAAAGTATACACGTTTGTATCGATGAAAATCACCTTTCTAAACTGTCGCCCGCAGGCTTTTCGCCTGTATTCAGGTCGGCCGCGAGCGGTTCACGCGTTATCGGTCGATGCCACCGATACGTAACCCCGGATGGGAAAAATTTGGTGTGCTTTATTTTGGTTCGCGCTGGACGACGCAACGGTCGCTTGCTTCTTGTTTACGATAATGTGCACTCACGCTCCAACGCTCGATTTATCGTGCACGCGAATAAACGCTTTTGTTGATATTAGTGAGAGAGAGAGAGATCGCTTCTTGTTGTATTTGTCGAGACTAAACATCCGCGTAAAGGGGATATCCGGAATCGGAAGTCGAGAGCTATGAACAGTGCTTTATGACGACTGTCAGAGTTAATATTTACGAGAGAGCATGGTTTTTAGAGCGTGTCCTCGACCGCGCAAGTACGGTTACACTGGTTAGAAAAAGTAGCGGACCTCTCCTGTATGTCATCCGGTCATCCGGTGCCGTCTTCTCGCGTAACAAACGACCGTCACTTCCATTGTCGTTGCTATTTTATAGGACCCATCGGTATTAAAGCGTGCGTGCGTGTCACTCTCTGAGAAAAGTTCCTCAGAATGTTCTTGCGTCAACCTTCACCGCGTTTCTCGCAATTAAATCCCGCGGTTGTTGCATTTCTAACGAACGTTGCTGTTTTAAGAACGCAAACCTTGGATGGTGCAATCTTTACCTTCAAACACAAGAAATTGTTTTTAGAGTTACACGCGGATGTAAAGTTGCGCGAATATTTTGTGCTTCTTTTGAGACCAGACCTGGCCATTTTTTCTGTGATATCATTTATGTACGCATATGTATATATGTATACATGTATACATAATAATTCTCGAAAATACTGCATTATCATTGAACACGGATTTCCATTCTTTGCGTTAATTTCTCTTGAAACCGATAAAACTGTTCGCGGAAATAATTTCCAGAAGACAGAATTGCAAACAAGAGAATGATGGATCAGTGTCGACATTGCCTGACAGTGACTGTAGCCACTACCTGTGTTCGATTAATCTTTTGAGACTCGGTATCTTAAGCAGCTGTTCGTTTCGTGTAGTCACACAATGGCGTTTATAACATCCTTGTTATAATCACCGTAGCATTAACGTTTCGGAATCATACGGCATTAGTCTAACTATGCTTTCGTGAAAGAATTTTCATTGTTTTTTCACCTTCTGTTGCGCTTACACCATGCAGAAATGCGAATAGACTATCCTGTCAGTGGTTTCCAACCCAGAGATGTGCGAAATCTTATTCAAATAATACAAAAAAACTTGTATAGGAATTCAAATTGTATTCAATTTAACAATTATTTCGATAAGACTTTTTTGTTCGACGTGAAATATAATTTTATTGTATGAATTGAATAGTAAATTTAATTATTTAATGTTATTTTAACAAATAACATGATGTGAATTGTTTGTTTTCAACAATATCTCGTCTGTCTACCCTTATAATTTTGAAATATCGCGATATCCGTGTAAAATCTCGAGACTTAACAAAATTCCGCATCTTCTTTTGAGAATCACTGTCGTATAAACACGTTGCACCCGGCGTAACCGATCGCAAAGTCGTCGTTTCCGCTATATAAAACCTCCTTTGAGGTTGTTGACGTAACTCGTCGCTATAATTCGACGTAATTTATTTGAGGTTTTCGTGCATTTTGTTATGCGACCAATCTTCCGGGTAGCATTCTATACTTGCAACAAGAAACGACGAACGTGCTCCAGAAATTGCAATCGAATTACTTATCGCTTTAGAAAGTCTCGCTTCTGTTCACATTTTACCAAGATGTCTAGAATTTTCTATTTTGTTTCATTGCAGACGTTTGTGGGAACTCGGTGTAGTAGGTTTATTGGTGAAAATAAGTAATGTCTAAACCGCGGATCTTTATGCAAATTTATATTTCATATTAAATATCCCATATAACGTACCAAATAACTTTATCTCGATAGCTTCAAATGAAACACCTTATACATCAAAATAATATTTCTTTCCCTACTAGTTTCTGTCCACATTATTATAATGTAACTATGACATTAGATAACCACTTTCATACTTTCTGGTAAACGTCAGAGAACGCCATGATGTAAAAGCATCTGGTCATCTCGCATAGTGGTACTCTTCACTCTAACTCGTGGCAAATTAGTTACGGTGATCGGCAGAGGGTTAGATAACAGCCTTTAGGCACGTAAACATCGTGAATTAAAAATTCCTCGACGAGCCACGCGTTGTTATAATTGTATCTACCGGAACGGTGCATTCGTTGCGCAGCTGCATACAATTTTCAATGGAACAGCAGTTATACAATGAAACGTCAGGACGTAACGGTTCGCTAATGTTCGGGTCGATCGAAACTTCCTCCGAGAGGCTCGTTGCGAGATATCGTCGACGTAACTAACCAAATTTTGTCTACAGCCGAGTTTTTCGCGCCTCGGAAAAATTGGATCGCAATTGCAACGATCCGTGGATCGCTTTAACTCTTGACTCGTAGGGTATAATCAAAATGACCCTGCTGATTGACGAAGGAGTCGCCGGAATGAGCTATAGCTATCAACTTTGCGCGCTTTCAGCCTAAACTTGAAACGAATTGACGAAAAGTAAAAGTTGAATTTAATTCTTATTGGTAATTAGCGTCGTTGGCTAGTTACTTTCGTAATAAGTTGTTCTAGAGTTAAGTTAAATACGACTACTTTATTAGTCAAGAGATAATTGCAGTGTTGTTACAACATATAGACCAATTGAAAGTAGAGGCAACGTTTTGAGTGTTATAAGAAATACATTTCCTATGCTAAATGTTATCTGGTAGCATTTTTTTACAGTGAAACAGACCTGGGCACTTTTGAAATTATATCGTTTGTAGTATTGTTTAAATTGGTCGAAAATAATTATGAAATAAAATAACGTGTTAATTGTGAGATGATCATACTTATATCTATTGTTTCGTCTTAGATTTCCTAGACAGTATTTCAACATTAAAAATGTTTTCCATATGAGGTAACCAAAGGAGAAAACAAGAATTTCTCTCAAATGATTTACTTTGTCCCATAATTTTCCTTTCGGTGTCGCCGCAACGCGGATTGTACACAAAGCGAATACATTTCATAAATAATATACGAACACGTTCTCGTAGGCGTCGTAACTTTTCCTAGCGTTGGTCACGATAACGTTATCTTCTTTTCCGCAAATAAACGCAGACCTATCCCACTCCCCGATTGCGTGGAAATCTGGTACGGAAGTGCACATGTTCAACAGCTTAATATGTCTCGGATTCTGTAGACCTAAAGGCGCCAACGTAAAGCCCCCTTTCTACATGTGCACGATGTACAGTGACGGTTGTACAGTTTGCGAGGCCCTCGGCAATAAATCTTGTGTAAAACAAAGCTGGTCTTCAATTAAAGGCATTAACATGAATTCTTCTCTGTACAAAAAATCAACGAAAAAATATTGAAAATTTGACCTCCCGATGTGGTTTCCCCTCTTAATTCGTTTCTATGTAGGGGAGTCTCGTGAGTGACGATGTGTGAGAACGTGTCTGCCGCACACGTTCTCACCATAGCAGCTGCTGTGCGCCGCGTTTCCATTAACATTTTACAATCGTGACGTTATACAATGCGCCTGCGCTTACATCACCCGGCTCGCGAACAAATACAAGGCTGCACCTTGCCTCACCTCGCCTTTACTTCGTCATATCGTCGCTACCCGTTATTCATAATCGCTTCTAAAGCCAGGGCCGTTTAATTTAATTGACGATTACATCGACTCAGGGCCTTGCGTGACACGCTTTCGCAAGCGCGTCCAGCTTCCGACCAAACTCAACGTCGGATGCTCCGACGGGTCCCCAAAAATCATAACTTGGAAATCCGCGAACGTTTGTTACGATTTTACACTAAATATTTGATAGAAGGACTCGTATTAAATCTTTTAAGCAAACTGTTAGAATTATTAAATAAAATATGACTGTAATTTGTATTCTTAAGAGGGGAAGCCTGGTTGTTAAATCATAGCTGTATTCAACAATTTCTTTTCCGAGAATAATTTACTTAAGATGGAAGATCTAATGGAAGATCTTAATGTTCGCTGTGGTTTATTACGGAAAAATAATTTTCGTTAAAATTTTTTAGATAAAATAGCGATGTTGGGTTCATAAGAGAAAGGCCTAACAGTATCTTGGAACGAACGAGTTCTGTTCGATTCTCGTTCCCAACCAACATTGTTTGATATCGATCACCGAAGACCTACAGTTTTAGGTGGAATCTCAACCATCGAATTGGCCAATAGCACACAGGAGTTCCTAGACGGTTAACCGCCCAGGCACTGACCGCGTCCAGCGCAGTTTAACTTCGTCGTTGGCCTAAATAGCTCAATTGGTAGAGCCTGGTCATTCGAACGAAATACATGCGATCGTATATGCGATCGAACTTAGGTCCAGTGCCGCGTCCTCGATATTTTATTTAAATTTCAATCTGGTATTGTTGTCCTTTCAAGATAACTTATTGTTTCTGGCCTAATCTTCTCAATTACAAAATCGCTTAAAAAATGATCAAATCAATGATATATTTTTCAACAATTTCGCGTCTCCTAAAGAGGGTCAAGCAAATGACCGAAAAGTCGACTATTCCCACATTCATTGTTCCCATTCGAGTCTATTTGACTGTCTGAACTTTCCGTGTCTAATCTGAAATCGTGATGTAACCGAAAACAACTGTGCTAAGAAGTCTGCAAAGAAACGTCTATTCCAACGGGATGAGCTCGTCGAAAACCGTGTCGCAACTGTTTTCGTCGAGATATGTTTACAGAGCAAAGCTATAAACGTTTGCTTTCTGGATTCATTTTTAAAGTGTTAGGATTACTAAAACGATTGGTCGATTACTTTTGTGAGTTATCATTCCTACGAATTGGAGAAATGTAGTTTATAAAAAAAAAAAACAATATCTCACAAATTTTTATATGAAACGATTTGAAAAAATTAACAAATGTACTTTTATATATTTGGTCTCACGATGTGATTTCCCCTTTTAATTAAAGAGTTTCGCGTATTCGACCTCGTTGCCCCCGAGGAGAAAAGTAATTTTTTGATCTTCGCGTTTACGATTTGCCCGAGGTCTTAGAATCTTCGGCCAACACGTAACGAAAACCATAAATCGCTCGCTGTCTGTCTGTCAGACGGCACAAACGTGGTTTGGCGCAATCGAAAGGCAAATTTGAAAGACCTTGTGAAAAAGTCTGTTGCGTTAGTCTTCTGACGAAAGACCGCGAAGCAATTAAAACTCGGAGTTTTCCGCAGTAAAACGAGCACTTGTGTCCTCTGCAAGCAGCGGGGACGCAAGCAGTATAAAAAAAAGTTGGCGATAAATTTGTCTTGTCGATCTTCAACGAAGGCAACAATTTTTTGTTATCCCACGCGTGTTGAAATAGAGGTTTTAGCAACGAATAATATCAGATTCGAGTTTTTCTGTCCTTTTTGCTTTGTGAACGTCGCTACTCCTCAGCGATAGATGTTCGAGGATTTGAAAAGTAACGATCGATCGGCACCGGGCTCGATTTCGTAAAGAACGCACTGTGCCCTTATTAAACTAATGGGACTCGAGTTTCGAAACCGTGTCAGGTTTCGAAACGCGAGACGAACGACCGGACGAACAAAGTTTCAAAAGTAGCCAAGATTTCGTGTGCTCCTCCCTTATCGACTCGTTTTGCAAAATCCTTGACAAAGTACTTTTAACATCAATTCTTCTCCAGTATCCGTGTATTTTTATTCACAATAACATCGAGATGGGATCAAAAACCCTCGAAATAATGGATTAATTCTCCCGCGTTCCATGTAACGAAAACAGCAAATCCGTGACACGTTTGTTCGGTGATATTCGATCGATCAACCGCGAGTTCGGTCCTTAATTAAGATAATTAGGCCTGTGGTTGGAAAAACACCGTTCCTCGAGTATTCCGTAGCCGGATGCAATTGTGCAGACCTTGAACGTCGATCGTGATCGACATAGGACGACGGGTTTGTGAAGATTCGCAACCTTGGGCGATTATTCTTCTTTTCTTTCGGTATTGTGTCCAAGGTTTCGACGATTGTCAACTCTTTTTCTTCGAGAAATGATTAAATTGACTTTCCTGTTCTAAATTTACCACATGAGTCATTATCGTCATGATCCGCAAAAATGGTTGTGCGATCTTGTTTTCCAATATAAATTTCGGGTGATCGATGATCGACGGGTTTTGATCGCTCGTATCATGCCCACGATAAACGATAACTAAAAGCGTAAGTGATCGAACGATTATCCGTGATATATTTTACAGTACTTGAGCGTTGTCGCTGTAGGACGAAATTTATTAAAAGCATTCGCCAAGTACATTCGCAACCGAGGGTTGCGGATATTTGTGCTGTCTGCTCGCCGCGGATATCCGTATTAACCGGTCAATGCTAACGTACAATTATCTAACACAATGGCAGATATTGTGCGCGTTATTGAGAACGTTGACGTACGAATCGTATTTCTTAAAGGGACCTGCGTAAGAACTAGTTTCACGAGTACGTTATATACAGTTGACAACCGTTTCGATCCTGTGACGAAGTAGGTAAAATTTGCATAGGGTGCAGCTAGCGTAATTCGTGTAACAGTTGATCGAAAGGATCCGAGGTACGTTGGACGTCTAGTTGTGTAATCTAAACGGTTTGTGACGACTGTAGACGAAGTTGAACGTACAAGATGGAATGACTGAGTAAAAATAACGATTTAGTAAAGGAACAACTCGATACGAATTTATTGAAACTCCTCTGTTAATTGTTTACTGCTTCATCTATCATCGCTTTTAAATTCATAGTCGTCATGTACGTGATTCTCACATCTCATATCATTTTGAAGAACAATTTCATTATTATTTCAAATAACACATTATATATGTTATTCGAAATAACATTTCAAGTAACCATTTCAGAAGTGCCCAAGCTCATTCAACAATAATCATGGCCCATTACCAGAGGTATTCATATCTAATTTGTATACGTGCAGATTCACCCGTTATCCAACTTCATTTCCACCGAATTACAGGAACCCACGGAACGACGACGAAAGAAAACGTGCGTACCTCGCGCGGAGTTGTGAATTTGTCCTTCCTGTCGAATGATTTCCCAATCCTCGACCCCAGGTGTAGAGCGGCATAGTGACGCAACGGTTTTCCTGAATTTCAGGCGTTGACCGTGGGCGACAAAGGTTGCGAGGCACTACTACAGGCACACCTTCGATTAGAAGGTACCGGAGCGGCGAGTGGAGTTGCAGGCGTGGTGGAAGCGCCCGGAGGTCGACGGTATCTGCTGCTGGAGGGCCACCACGGTGACCTGCACGCCTACGTAAGGGCGCGCAGGAGATTGCGGGAACCCGAGGCTAGACGGCTCTTCCGGCAAGCGGCCAGGGCCGTGGCTACGTGCCACGAGTACGGAGTTGTGCTGAGAGACCTCAAGCTCAGGAAATTCGTCTTCGCTGACGAAGCAAGGTAAGAAGAGAGCTAATCACCCATCCCTCGAACAAACCTAAATAGTTCCTGTCCCGTCAGTTCTCTTGCTCTCAGAGTAATTAGGCTAGCCGAGAAGGGAAAATTGGAGAACATTATTATCCAACTGCGGGTTTTAACTATAATACTTACAAGAACTGCTAATAGTCTATATGCGTTATTATATACAATTATTATAACGAAATGTTGGTGTTATTATTAGACTGTAGACGTAAAAGAGAATGAATTTGTTTGATAAATTAGTTTACTCCTCCTTCCTCCAATTACAAAGTTACATATAGTATACAGTCAGTCTCATAGGTTCATTCATACCCTCTTTGTTTATTGAAGAAATTTGTTGTCTACTTGTAAATTAAAAAATAGGTTTGATGTTTCCAAATAAGTGCATGCTTTTTTCAGAGAACATGCATGTGTACAGTGCAGAGAGTTTCTGTATTGATCTCGAACCTAGAAGTAAGCATGACTTAAGTAAAAAAGTAGGGAGATATTAATGTGACAAACTGTCTGCTAATTTGAGGGGACTGTTAATGATACGATACGCCCACGTATCGTTTGTGGCATTCTTCGAGGAAGTGAGAGGACTCGCGTTACAGAGCCATGGAAAACCAGTTCGTATTCGTTTCATTTCCATATTCGCTTGTAATTCTTTTGCACCATCGAGTTACAGGGGAGATATCTTGGAAAAGAAGTGCCTTCCACGCCTACATAAATTAATTTCCCCTTCACCCAACACCGCACAATGTAACCCTCCTACCTTCGATGAATTCCGTTCTATTTTCTGTTTTTATTTCCAATCGTTTATCGCAGTTATCAGTTCGAAAGGTTATCGTTACCACTAGATATCGAACAGAGGCTTGGTTTATGCGTTCCTATTGTACACTCGTTCTTAAATCGAGATTGGTCGTTTGGTTCCTCCTCTTGACGTTTTACTCTCCTTTCGACAATAGTTTAAACGAAACGATGACAATTTCTCAGAAAGCAATCAAAGTTCTGCGTGAAATGTTGAATTTCGTGTCTCTTGCAACGAAGACTCGAAACGCGACTTATCGAAACATCTTTTTTTATATGATATCTCAACAGCAGAGATCTTTTCCTTGTTTTATTTATTCATAACAACATTTTGTGTAACTCTTGGCACGTGTCTCTCGTAATGCACGATCATTTCCGGTATGTTTGTTTATACATTAGCGGTTTCGCGTACTCTTCTACGTGCAGAGTGCACCACGGATTAATAATCCTATAGCAAATGTTCATAAGGATTCGGTTTTGTTCCAAAGGATATGTAATTTTGGGAGGGAAGTAACATCGATGAGATGCCTTTGAAACTTTAACTTTCAAAGGTACGTTTTATAAAACAAGTTGGAGAAATTCTGTTCCTTTTTTGAAAATAACTTGGCAAGTTTTCTTTAACGTCTTGAGGGATATTGACACATACAAGCAGTCCTATCTCTACTAAAGAAATTTGACGAAATTAAATGATAGAATTGCAACTCGCGCCGGAAGATATCGCATCCATACAAAGATAATTCATCGGAAATGAATTCATGGAACGAGCGGATCGCGCCACGCCACGTCAAACTATTCGCTAGGCGTGTTCGTGATCGAACGTGACTTATTCGCGCGATACACGACGCACCTACGTGCAGGGCCATCTTAACAGCATCATGGGCCCCTGGCCAAATAGTGCACTGGGGCCCCTTAGCTATACAACTCGTAGAAATACAAATATAATCGTAGCTTAACTACGAGCTCAGCGATCCCGAGATACCCGAGCTTAGGGGAGTCAGCGGCCCCCGAACAAAATGTATAAAGTTCAAAATTGATGTAAAACGATGTAAATCTGACATGGAAAAACCATTCATTTTCAAAATTAAATTTGTGCCACACGCGAATTGAACGTAGGATAAATTAACAGGAGGCGCCCAAGCAAGTGCCTAGCGTGCTCATATATTAACACGGCCCTGCCTACGTGTCTGTAGCAACAACGAGACTCCAGTGTTGTTTGTATGTGCTCGAATGTGAAGCCCACTTTACGCGGAGCGTGTTTTCTTGCATGATTCCTTGCAGTCTGTGAGCAAGCCTGCATGTTGCTTGTGCATGGTTTTCTTGATTGTGCCAGTGCAAAATATTTCCTGCTTGTTTCTAACGCGCCGCGTTTATTGGGCCAATTGAAATGCTAAAAATAATCGCGTCACGTGGTTCGGTCGTTTCAATTGGCCCGAGAATCACCAGTCCGCAAGGAATCGCGCAATAAAAGCGAGAAAGTAAACATTGTATAGGGATTTTTTTTAGAACATTGAACTTTTGAAAAAAAAAAAAAAATGAGGTGAAACTGTGGTAAACAAAGTCACACGACTCCCTAAACTAATCCAGAAGACCACCGTTTGCTAAGCCGCTTCCTGGTAGCAGTCAATAGCTCCGGAGGTACGTTTGGGCACGACGAATTTGTTAAGCTCAGTGAGCGCTCACATAGCGGGATACAATTAGTGGCAGTGGCCCTTCTGGATGCATCCAATGAAATCATCGATCGCGTGTCCACGCATTGATTACATAATTTTCATCTTATCAGTAAATGGACGATACGAAGATAATTTTTACCGGATAGATCGTTCGGCAAACTGTTCCCACTAAAAATTGACTCCAGAATCGAACATTCGTGGTTCGTGCGAGTTGCGACGGTGACGCGATAAAAGGCGGGAGAAGGAACGAGAGACCAAGAAACTGACATTAGAAGCGTGTGTGAGAACGCGTGCGCGTTAATACGTGTCGGTTGAGTTCGGTGTTGGCCAATCGTTCCTTGCGCTCGCATTCCTGCCGCTCGGTGAACTGCTCCCGCGCGTAGAATAACGAGAAGCGAGAAGGAAAGATCACCGAGATATAGGGGAGGAGGCGGAGGGGAGCCAGGGAATGTTGCAAGCCAGAAAAGCATATTGGTTCATCGGCTGGGTAGATTTTGAAATGCTGGTATAATTAGGAAACGCGTGGTTCGTTCCACCTCCCAGAACCCGAGTCCAGACATCTCTCCCTTGCGATTGCGTTACAGCGGTGTTTTTCAATCTGCGGGTCGCGACCTATCGATGGGCCGTGAAATCAATATTACGTCTGCATATAGTTAGTCGCAGCAAACAAAAACGATATAATTGAACACTATCATCTCGTGCTTGCAGCTCTTGGCGATAAAAATCTCTTTTTGTCTTCGCTTGTAATTTTTTGTCCGAAACAATTAATAACATCGATTCGTATGTTAATTTAGCGTATCCAGTTGTGATATTTGCCGGTTCCAAAAATGACTCTGAAGTGTCGAAACGTAAATAAGTACTGGCTTGTTCGAGACTGTAGAATTAACATACTTTAATTTGTATACATAGAAGCTTGTCTGCGAATAAAATTAATGGTTTTCTCGCGGAAACGATCGTTGGAAATGAATTTACGCGGTGGTTTCGTATCAATCGTTCGTTACAAATATGATTACGACGGTTGTGCCGCGCAATGCTGTACGTAACTATCGTTCTGTCTTGCGGCAATCGCGCTTATGCAAATATCCTCATGTGTACCTCTCCGGCACGGATTTACATTAGCTTTTTTCGCTATTATGTATTGATTTTCTACGTCTTCTTAACCGTGAGTGTGCATATTCAATCGACAATGTTTCAATTCCGGTTTAAAGGATAGAAGCTTGGCTAGAACGGTCCGAGAAAGATGCATATTCAAGAATTTTTTGGGGACAAACTAAACATTTTTTAATAATAAGTTATAGGGTATTCGAAAGAAGGTTCCTTTCTTTGTGTTTAAAAATATCTTAAATTAACAAAGTCGCCTGATCTCAGAACCAAGTTATGTGAAATTAAAAACACAAGCTTTCTTGAAAAAATCGTAACTTTCTTAATTAAAGATATTTTTGAATACTAAAGTTGCGACACGTGCACTAAGAAACGTTCTTCCGAATACGCTTAAATTTATTCCCAACAAATTTTCCGTTTGTCCAAAGGAAATTCTGAAATATACAACTCTTTCTGACCGTCCTAAGTAAGCTTCCGCTCTTAAGCAAGTTTTGTCGTCGTTCCACGACTATTTAACACACCGATTTCGTCGAGTAGGAGGAGATTGCGTTTTCCTTGTTCCATTTGGCCCGTGTTTATTACCGTCGTCGCAATCCGCACGCGGGACCAAATGTAAGGCGTCGAGTCTAATATGGAGACATACCCAAGTGTAACGCTCGCTTTTTAATGGGTTTTGCACAATGATAGTGATTGAAATACTGAAGATAATGATATATGATTTTAAGCACGGACGGCTAACCGTTTGACAGACTTTTAACGGTATTTCATGGAGTTGCATGTATCGCGTAATAAAAGCACCATGTATGCACAGACGACGAACCCTTGGCGCCATCGGTATAGAGAGTAATAATAGAGATACGAATAATGTAGTAACAAAACAGTAAATTGAACAAAAGCGGTGTTAAAGAAACTAGGAACTTGAAAAAGAAATTTCAAGTAATTGCGTCAAATTAACCGTCTTGGTAGTTAATGAAACTAAAAAATGACTCGATGAGGAAGTTGTTGAAAACTAAGCGTCGCTATTGCATCTCATCGTAAGCTTCTGACGTGTTTCTTTTGAAACAGTTCCGTCGGTGGCTATTGCCATCTAACTTGCGCGTGACGCGGTGCGATGACGCGAGCAGATACGTGGCAATATCCTTGTAAGCGACGATCTTTGTCTCTTCACAAAGCTTCGTCGTGAATTCTACACCGACGACGAGCCACAGCCTCTCGCGTCTAATTCTGGCGCACGACGCGATAGAATTCATTGGCATCAAGGTTCTTGACACTCGAGTTCCTCTGTCCCTCGATCCTGGACCAATCGATCACCTGATAACACCGGGCCAGAATTCATTTCCATTAAAGCCTCGTGCCGCTTTTGTTGCACCTCCTTCCGTTCCACCGACCGACGTACCGATCGATTGATCGAATCAACGATTTCCCGGATGTGCCTTTTTACGGAGTTCAAGTGTCTCGGCCAAGCTACCTGATAATACAAAGGGACGCATACATCGTCCACGCCAGGAGGAATACTTTCTTTCGACCGGAAGTCTTCCGAGCTCGTGTCTGCGCTCCCTTCAGATCGTTTCCTTCGAATCCAAGTTTTAGTACGATTAAATAAAATTAAATTAAGTACAATTAAATAAAAATGTTGCTGCTTCGACAGTGGAAGCTCAAAGGAGGTCGTAAATGGAGCCGAAAGTCGGAGGAGAGAAAAGGAACCGGAAAAGAAGGAGAGTCGATCGAGACACGATCGTTTCTCAATCGCGCTCTCGAATGTAGTCCCTCGAGGAAATCACCGCGCTAGAATTCACCGTCGGGGTTCTTGAACCCACTGGCTGTCGTAGGAGTCGTTTGCTTACGAGTGAAAGTTTGCGAAGAAAGCTGCGCCTACGGCTATCCTCGGCTCGTCTCGTGCATCCGAAGCAGAGACCGGGTGAAACCGGGTTCCTTCTCGGAAACGATATCTCGAGGCCATTGACACTCACTCGCTCGGATTTTCAAGATCGTGTGGCAGCCGGGGATCTCTCTTCCTTTTCTCTTCTTGGCTCGCTGAAGCGACGAAAGCCAGTGGTGCCCTGCGGAAAGTAGAGGATACTGGGGTTAATTTGAACGTTTCTGATCAAATAGCTTACTGTGACTTCAATGTATATCCTGTCCGTTTGCTAATAAGATAGACTGAGGATGCTTGTGGAAATTCACATTTTTAGAGATATGAAATTAGAATTGAAACTTACGGTAGTCGTTCTGTGAATTTATTTAATACAGGATTTTAACAAAATCTCGCATGATTGTTCTTTAATTAAATATGAATCATACGATGATTTTAACACAAACTCTTTTCTCCGTTCGTGTGCGCACTTCCCGAACGATTACGCTATTTCATATCGACCAAGTGTCTCGGGCGATATGAGAACGAGCATCGTGGAGAGCTTAAAGTTGCCCAAGACCCGAGAATATTACGTACGCGCATTCTCGGCTGTCTGTGTATTAAATGTATTCTAAGAACGTTACCTCTGGCAATAATTCGATTTCAATGTTTCTTCATCCCGCGACTTGAAACGACCGATACATTAATTTCAAAATTTCAGCGAACGAATGAAGCGAGAGAGAAATGAAATAAGAAGCATGAGTATTTTCTTGAAATATTATTAATATGAATTATATTAATTTATAATAAACCCCAGTGAACAGATCTTCTATTGACTCAACTATTTTCTAGAAAAAAATTGTCGAATTATGATTTCCACGCGTCTAAGATGACTTTTCCTCTTAAACGAAAAAATCCTCAAGTTTCTGTTGAAAAGCAGTTTTCGAAGTGAAAAGAAACATGGTCTTAACGTAGGCGTTGCGTATCGATCGGGTATCGTAACCGGTGTGAGAAGGAACATCGTGGAAAGCTCCAAGTTACCCAAGAGACGGGAATATTACGTACACGCGCTCTCTGCGACTTCCGCGTTGCAGGTTGATCAACTGCCGGCCGGCACTCTCCTTTCTTTCACCGAGTCCTTTCGTTGTGCCCTGTTCCACGGTATCCGACGATGCCTCGTCGACGGTTTGCACACCAGGCGATGGCTCAATCGCGATGTCCTCTCGCCGAGTTGAAATACTTCGCCTTCGGGCGTGCACGCAAAAGGTTGCACGATTTCTTCAGCGTCTTCCTTTTCCCTTCGGCGTTTCGCGCAACGACTCCATTAAATTATTTATTACACGTATACATGCAATGATCACCTTCGTTTGGTATCATCCATCTGCAGATTCTTCATTAAATACATGTAGAATAATAATAAATAAACGTAGCGACTGAAATAAAATGTTTGATTTTAAATTGGTGTATTTAAAGTTGTTTCAACGATAGAGATTACTAGCGACTTGTATAAATTATAAATTGGAAATCACAAATTTCGGTTTAGTCATGTTTTAGGCAGCACTTCAATATTCCATCGGTAGTAACTAACGTATCGATTTATCTACTTTCAGGACACGGCTCCGTCTGGAGAGCCTCGAGGACGCCGTGATCGTGGAGGACGACGATGACAAATTGACCGATCGAAGAGGATGTCCCGCGTACGTGGCCCCGGAAGTGCTACGCTCGGGAAGGGCCTATTCCGGCAAGGCAGCCGACATCTGGTCCCTCGGTGTTCTGCTCTACACGATGTTGGTCGGTCGTTATCCGTTCAACGACGCCGAACACGCATCCCTATTTGCGAAAATCTCACGCGGCCAATTCGCGGTACCCGAGGGTCTTACACCGCGAGCACGATGTCTGATACGTTCCTTGCTGAGAAAGGAACCGTCCGAAAGACCGTACGCCGAGGACGTACCGAGACATCCGTGGCTCTCGAAGCCCCTTCGAGTCTGCACGGCATCCAGCAGATCCTCGTCTCAGGATCAAATCGTACCAGAGCTACCTAACAATCCTCAAGACTGATTCTTCCGGGAGAAGAACGTATATTCCGCGCGCGCTGAAATCAGCTTTCCATCTTAATCCTCTATTTGGCAGAGTGACGTCAGGAACCGATGATAAACTAGCATAACATGGCTTAGATTCTATGCGACAAACCCGGGGTACTGGTAGTGATGGGATCAATCCTATGACGTAACGGCGAATTGAGTTATTCAGCACCTAGAAAGTATTGTAAAATTGGGGTGAATAGAAAACACTGCTTTAAAAGTGTGTTAAATGATCAATCAAGCTTTGTTGGGAGATGGGTTTAAGGCGCAAAGTAACTCAATTTTGCGATACTCGTCAATATCGATACATATCAATTCCCAAGTACCTGAAATTCGATACTTCTTATTGAGTACTTCGGGATCGAATCATTTGAATGTCATCAATATGTATCGTATCAGTCTCACCACCACCCGTGGTTCGTGATACAACTAGAAAGGGAAGGAATGGCGGATTCTTCGTCCGAAAAGCGAGCCTTAAATGCGGAAAACAATGATTTTGTGCAAGACGCTGTTTCCGGAAACAGCCACTTTTGATGATGACTCATCGGCTACCCTCTTGTATCTGACTTTCTCAAGGTTTAACTCAATATTCCGCGTATATAGTACTGCCCTCCTAGTTGTCTTGTAGTCATCCCTTATAAATTGACGAAATAATTCATAAACCGAAAATTAAGGTGAAACAACAAAACGAGGTGATTTATAGAGAAATTCTTAAAAATCAGTTTGTTTCGAAACGCAGTTTCGTACAAAACAAATTTTATTCCGCATGTTCGACTTACATTTCTATGAGGAATCACTTTCCCGTTTGTACCACAAATTACACAGAATATTGTATGTATATTGGCGTTTAAAACGACGCGTTGTTGTTCCTTCGCATGTGATGTTATGTAAGTGACGTGTATCGGATAGAAACTCTTGTCTATGCTTTTGAGCACTGGCTACGCGTAAAAGCCATGTTTATGTAACGAAAGGATACCAAATAAAGGGTTAAATGTTAGCTGTCGCATCGAGGGATACTCCGATCCCGAAACTTGTTTTTGTTTCTTCGTTGCGACGTAAGAATCCGGCCTAGGATAAGAGTAAATTTCGTTGGAAAACATTGAAGAAGGTCTAATGGGAGATGATCGTTGCTTGAATTTTTTGTTAGTAGAGACCTACGAGCTGATAATTTACCATTAGGAACTACGATTCAATGAAATGTGATAAAAGAATCATTTTGTTTATTTGAAGGAGATTTAATATCACAATGATATTATTAATAATTTTTGGTTAAAAATTACTTTTTCCTTTATAGTAGACTCGTAGGTATTCGTAATTAAACTCTTTATGTATCGAACTCGTTGAAATGTTAAATTTGGTGTTATTAAAGAAAAGTAATTAAACGTCAATAATACAAAATTAATTCGTCATGAACCATAAGTAAATAGAAAAAAAACTGTTTCTACCGACTATTTCGTAAAAAATAATAACCCTATTTATTACTGTCTGTTACGCTGTATACCAATTTGAAGTAGACTTTTTACGCGTAAATTGTAATAATTTTCAACGAGTAAATATTACAATTGTACCTCGGTTTTTGCCACTTTCCATTTTGAACGATTTCATATCAACATTATGAGATCGTGAAAACTCGATATCGATGGTAAACAACGTTAAACGATTAAACTCCTGATCTTCGCTGATGGTTTGGTTTGAAGAAAGTACCAAGTGTTCTTCTATTTGATATCTATACAAATTATTTTGTAACTCTGCAAAGTAAGGTTGTTACGTGCAAGATTACCGAATGTGTGCGTTGAATATGAGTGAAAGAGACTATTTTCTTTTATATTTTCTAATGCGATTCTCTGTGCATTGAATGCGGTCGTTTCAGTGCACGATTCCTCGTATCATTTGAGTCAGGGTACAATGGTAAGAGCGTTCGCTGGCGCTAAAATGTATATAAGTTCGATCCACTAAGTCCTACTAAATCGTTAATTAGAAACATTAATAAAATGTTCTGTACATAGACAAATAAAGTGGCGTTCACGATAAATTGTTGCTCGACGGTCTACGTTTTATCGTATTTTAAGTTTCTACCGTTAATTCTTACAATCGTTAATCCTTTTGAAGAATTTTCAACATTGATTGAACAAAAACATTATTATGTAAACAACAGTTGAAGGATCAAATTTTAATTAATTCCAGAAAATAAACGAAACACTTCAGATAAAGTAAAAACTGCACATTTGATGTAGTTAATATTTGTAAATCATTTACTAAATAGTATATGCTGCATTTAAAGTATTCAGATTATTCAGCAATAAAGAAATTTCATTCTTGTTATGCAAATTATGTAAATACATAGTATAATTGTGTCATTTGTTCGTTAAACCAACAAAGTTTTTGAAACATTTGTTAAATCGAATAAATTAAAACCATGTAGGAAATAACATGTCAGGCTACATAATACTAATGACGCATAAAGTGGTATGAAGTCGTTATTTTATGTAATTGATAGTCGTAAAATAGATAATACGCGAATTGTGTAACCAGATGTCGCTGTTAATCCAAAAGTTCCTATACATATTTATTACCAACAGTTACAGATGTTATTGTTGTGTGATGTATAGAATCTATACTATAGAGATCTATATACTGGGCATAGTGCGAGAGAGAACGCAACAGTGTGCAACCAGGATAGTGACTATTGACATCACGCCACCGAATGTTAATAATCATTATCCTTAATTTCTTAACTGTCTACAGATAATTTATGAACTTTTGGAATCTTGGTGTAAAGTATAGATCAATATCTACATTCAACGACCATTTCTAGTACGATTCCAATTATTGTTAAGTAATTATTATTCATTACTGCAAGGTAGTCACATGCACGGCATCGCGTCTTCGCATTAATTGATTGTTTCTAAACTTCCTAAAAAGAATTTATACACTTTAACACATTATAAATAAAGTCTGGATCTGTAGCAACATTCAAGAACCATTTTTTATACGATTTGAATTGTTATTAGGTAGTTTAAATTAATAGTAACATATGTTATCGTTCGGCGCGCCGACAAAATGGCTGTGTAGTTGCTATCCTTGTCGCACACTGTTGTGGTCTTTCTCGCACTATACGCATAGATCTATAGTATAGATTCTATATGTCACAGTTTAGCCACTACAATAACATTAATATACCTAGAATTCTTTAAGTCCTAATAATAAACTATTTTTTATAATTTTGAAAATTTCAAATACGTAAATGATCTGTAAATCCACATCGTGAAATTAGTAAAATTCATAAAAACTATCTATACGTGAACAACTAATAAACCATTTGTCATTTTCAAAAATAGTTGAAGGATGATGTTTATTTCTTCACAGGCGTAAAAGTTAAACATTATTGATGCGATTACCAATCGACATTTATTTATTCGTGTTGCACGCCGAAACGCAATTAGTGTCAAAGTGAAAATTATTGGCTAATCGAACCCTGCTAATTAATCATCGTCTTATAGACTTATTTTAAACCTATCCCGCCGTAACATAGAATATACTTGCAAACGTGCAAACGAATCAAATCAAAAATGGCCGCAAACGTGAGAACAGGTGAGTGGTATGTACAAACCTGTCAGTGTTCATAACCATCATTCGAACAAAGTAACTGATTTCGCGTGATTTAGTGTAACGTGGATCTAAATATCATAATTTGCTGCTCACGTATCTCGGGATAACAACTAAATTTTATTACTACGTCACAGATTCATACGTCAAAACTGATGTACATACATATACTACGATTCGTTGAATTTCCGTCGTTATCGCCGCGCCTGTGAATCCATATCGCGTTAAAAACAATCTGACATTTAATGTGGGCGTTTAATCGTGATGCAGAGAGATCGACTGCCAGGAGTACGGGTATTGGTTTTCACAGATTTTCTGTTGCATCTGTTCATACGCATCTACATTCGCGCTACATGCATGAATGTGTAGGAGAAAATCTGCGCAATCAGTGCCTGGCCGTGCTTTGCACGCTTCGATAACATACTTGGAAAAAATCACTTTCCAACTAACGTCTTCCTTTGTATTTTATTTTAGACATGCGAATTCCTACACGCTCGGCGCCTCGTCCACCCCCTAGTTCAACAGCACAAAGAAACTCTCTTTGGGGCAGCACGTAAGTTTTCTACAACTTTATAAACGCAGTTCCTTTTTTCTCCATTTTATTATATATAGTGAATGCTTTTCCTATATACAATTACGTGCATAATTGATACAAAAATATATTGACATTGAGAAAAGATAGCATCTTTATCGATAAACAATCCAAAAACTTGGTTTTTGTATCATTCTCTTCATCCTAGTCTCCAACTAAAAGAACAGATGTACTATGATAGTTTCAAAATACTAATTTTATTTAAAAATCTAATTAAATGTTTATTTCTTCTTTTATTCATAGAAATGATGTTTTTGGATCTACATTTACACAACAGCCTATTCAGAAAAAAAAACCACCTCCTCGGCCGCCACCACCAAAATTTAATCCAAATTATGCACAGGCACAGAAAGAGAAATTAAAGAAACCAGTACGTAAAAATCAATTTTATTATTTCATATTACTTATGTATCACTGCGCTAGAATTCTCTGATTCTTAAATGTTATGTAACTTTGTTTTCATGATATCTACAAAGGCAAGGCCAACAGAACTTTTGACCAATCTTTTTGGAAGAAAGAGAAGCGAACATTTTACCACAGCGCAATTTAATAGTCAAACCCACAATACGCTACTGCAATCAGAAAATACAAATGGATCAGTTTGCTTGATAGATCTCAGTCCACCTGGATCTCCAACATTCACGACTCGATCGAGTAGCGACGGCGTTAGCGTTGATAGTTTTGGCAGCGATGGTAACTCAAATCCATCTGCATTTACAAGCAGTGGAAATACATCTCAAACAGAGAGTGCCTTTGAAGATGATTTTGACTTTTTTGGATTAACCACAAAAAAAGTACAACAAAATGATCCTTGGCAAGTTAATCCAGTGTTAGATCCGTTTGGACCATTAGAAGCTACTAATAATTATAATTCATCACAATCCGTAAAACACGTGGGGGAAGCGTCTTTTTTCGCTTATAATACAAACAATCATTTTGACAATAAAGTGCTTTCCAATCAAGCAAATTTAAAAGTCCCTCAATCAATGCCAACTATTATTCGTGCAAAACCATCCAAAGCAAAACTTCTACAAAAGAGTTTAGAACAGAAAATTAATCACGCAGAAACCGATTTAAATTCTTTAAGTAAAACAACAGTGCCTTCGTCTAAGTCAATGACGTTAGATTTAACACATTCATGGCCAAGCAATTCTAAAAGTAGTCCTTCACCACCGATGCCCACAATACCACCACCTGCGCCACCATCAGAGTATTTAAGCGAAGTAAATAGTGATGAGCTTTTGGTAAGTAATTATATTTCAATATATATACAAAATATTTACTTACTTCCTCATTTCTTATTTTCAGGTCAACAGCGAAGAACCTCATGGTATCGCGCTTTACGATTTTCCACTTACACATACAGATGATTTACCGTTCAAAGAAGGTGATATCATATATTTAATAAAAAAGGTGAATGATGACTGGATGGAAGGTAGAATAGGAAATCGACAAGGAATATTTCCTATTAATTTTATTGATATCAAAGTACCATTGCCTGGTGTTCCAGACAATGTTGTTACTGCGATTTATTCTTTTAAAGGTGAAGCACCGGAAGATCTAACATTTAATGTAAGTTACTAGACCCTACATTTTATTATTATAGAATTTTTGCATACTTTTTATGTATTTATATTACAGGAAGGGGAAAAAATTACAGTTTTATCAAGGATATCAGAAGATTGGCTGTATGGTGAGTATAGAGGTCGAAAGGGACAATTTCCAGTAAACTATGTCAACAGAGTTCCATGTAATATTCCACTATCATATTAATTTACATGGTTAGTATATTATAAATTGTAGTATCATAATATTTTCTCTACTACAAATTCGAGTCTTACTCTTTATACCCGATAAATATTTTTGCTATGGTATTGTATTATAAAAATGAAATTGAAAGTTTAAGATTCAGCAATGAAATCATATTTTCCTTAGCCACGTTGAATGGCCGAAGATACATTTCATAAAATTGTATTCTCAAAAAGACTGAATTGCATGCAAGTATGCATTGCCTTGCAAATCTAAAAGAAGAAACGATCTTTTTTACCGTTTTTTAAATCACATTTTTTGGAATGAAAGGTTTATGTTTTGAGAGTGTAATATTGTAAGGGTACAGTAAGAGTAATAGTTTCCCGCAATGTTTCAACAAAACTATATTTTTAATTATCTTTACGTCATAAATATTTGAAATCGAGGGATTGTAGTATTTCTAATATCGTAAGAGATTATATTCATTCGGAACTTTCGAAATGCAACATAAGTAAAGTAACGTTTTTCACTATCGTAAAAATAGTTAATTGTCAAACAATTAGTCTCCAACTATTATACATAATATATTCCTTCATTTGATAAAATACACGTAATTGTAAAATACATTCAAAATATTTATGTATAAAACTTTATTATAATCTTTCTCGTCTGAATGTCAGTATCTGACAAAATAATACCTTCATAATTTAAGTGTTAAATAAGTTGCCCCTTGCATAAAAAAGAGCAATATGTTACTGTATAGTTACTGCTTAAATTTTAATATAGTAATATTTTATATCTAAATTTCTGTAATGGATTGTGTTTGATGAATTAATGATTGGATTAACGCCGGCGTTTTCAGCAAACATTTCTAAATTAGAATGTTTGACAGTCATTTCAAATACATGTGTACAACATGCTATACATATATAAGTAACATACGAGACGGTTGTATTTTTCCGTCTGTATATAAAATACGTCAAGCATTAATAAGATTAATGTAAAATCATTATTAAATACATAACATTTTTATGTATTTAATAAATGTATGAAGAATGCAGCAATTTTTTAACGATTTTGTGTAACTTATACTAAATTTTTTGAGGATTAAAATTAAGTATGATGTAGAATTAACCAACAGATAAACCGTCAAATTACATACATGTTCATTTTATTTTAAATGTCGTATAATAATTATATAATATATAGAACAGAAAGAAGTTGTCGATACAAAGGTAATGCTGTAATTAATATATAGTAATAAGTACATAGCAGGGAGGATGTAAAAATGAATTTTTCAGTTGAAACATATTTACAACTTTAATTTGTGCATATCTTATAATTACTTGTTATCTGTTTTGAAAGTATATGCGTAAGACATATATGTATATGAAAACGTGTGTGTACATAAATGTATGCTTTGAAATTGTAATGTGATACTCTAAATTATTATGAAATTGGCAAGTAGGTCGAAGGAAACTTGAACTGCAGTATTAATAAGCAATATTTCTACCAATTCCACGATCTGTATTAGGACCAGATATTTAACTTATAAAATCACGATAATAATTATAGTTGGTTACATTCTCCGTTACTATACGTGTAACACAAGAAAATGTGACTTCTACAATTATCAAAAAATGTGTAATGTGATATCCGATTATGTTAGTAATCATTTCTGTCGTGTATGTAAATCGAGTTATTTAATATGTTATATAACAGAAATCGGAATTGTTGTAAATTAAGAAAGAAAAAAAATACAATTAATAATGAAAATATTAATTTGACATGAATATATCCTTCAAAAACTGAAATAATGATTAAAACTTTGTGCGAAATGTGTAATAATTTACGCAATAAAAGATATGTACGTGAAAACATAATTCATAATGTTTAATGCTAACAGTCTTTAAAAAGTTTTCCAATATTACATTTCTATTAATTATTTGCAATAATGTTACTATTGCTTTGCAAAACACTGCCACTAATAGAGTGTTCACTTAATGTAATAGCTCTTATCAATAACACATTTGAAGACTGTACAGTCTTTAAATGTGTAGAATAATTTGAACAAGATATACATTTGTCAATGTGTTTGAAAAATACTGAGAATATTATATTCTTGTAACGTTTCATGGTTTGTATCACAACGTTTCTAAATTTTTTACCTGTTAGACAGTATAAAAAAAAATTAATTGCAAAATTCCAATGATACACATGGAAACACAACCCACGGCACCATTTCAATAGCATTTTCTCTTTCAACCTGAAAAAACAGTTATAGATTTTAAAATATATCAAATTATACCGTTCGTTTCAAATATAAATAATTTCCATTCGTTTCGTTAATATTAATCTATACCAATGCACATATTCCATTTTCTCCTTTCCCTCAGTAGCGGGGTATTTGATCAAAATAACATCCCAGTAAAGTTCCAAAGTTTCAACTATGCCGAGAGGTAATATCAGTACTAAATAAACCGTTGATACGACAAATAATATTCTGGAAGTATGATGTGTTCTGTTTGCTTTATGTCTGAAATTTTCTATGGAATAATATCATTGAATGTACTTAGATTTCTTTGACGAACAAATTCGAATTAAGCGATTCACTTACGAGTCAACTGAGAACGAATTTTTTCTGTTTTCTTCATATGTATAATAAGTAAAATATTTCCAATAAATATAAAAAGCAAAGGTAGCCACGTTGATAAAGCAATGTAAAAATACATTGGACTGCCCCATGGTATTATCATTTTTTGACATGGTATAAATTCGAAAACACTGTCAGTTTCATATCCTAAAATTTAATCATTACTATTTTATATGTTACTATTATAATAATAATTTAAATGACTGAGAATATTACTAAATGCAATATAATTGCGAAGATATAAATATTTACCTCCCGAATATAATTTTGTCAGTGATATTATAAAAGTGGTACATATTAAAATAGTAAGAGTTATTATTTCGGAACAATTGTAACAATGACCACGAATTCCAAACGGAAACATAATAGCAAAGAGTCGGGTCCACGTGAGAGCTACGACCAGCCAAGTAGATGTAAATTGAAAAAATTCCATTGTTACGGAATTTAAGCTGCACAGAAACCTACTATTCTAAGAAAATATTAAATATAAAACTTACATTTTGTATAGCACGAACTCGAACGATGATTAATTAATAGCTTACCATAAAAAGATTATTAACAAATGTGAAGTGAGACTTTGCAATACCCACACCATAATTGAAAATTAGTGCTCCATTATCAGATAATGCGAGTGCTTTTAAATAACGAGATAAATTTGATTCACAAAGTATGGGAGTGCTTAACATTCCAAAAGAAACTGTATTTAACAATACACCTATATAAACATTTTTTTATTCAGTTCAATATAATGAATAACAAGAACTTGATACTAAATCATTATTCCTCAAACTTGAGTTTGCAAGATTTTAGAAAATGGAGCATATAGTGAAATAAATAAAATGTTTTGCCTAGTATTCTTTGTCACTAAAAAATTGTCTATTATCTTAAAAGTAAAGTTCGAGGAACAATGAACTAGGTAAAATATAATGTAACAAATATCAAATTATTTTCTTCCTTACCAAGAATTATAATAAACGGTGTTATATAGCTAAGCAAGAAACGTACAAATTTGACAAACGGCTGTAACGTTAGCCAGTGAGCACGTACTTCACAGGGCCATACAATTTCTAAATTAGGTTGTGTAAAATTGTAAATAAAATCCAGTGTTGTCAATGGTAGTGGACATGTTAAATTTCCTCTAACATTAAGAAGTACGCGCATAAACAGAAACACACGAAAGGTTCTTTACTATGCGTATTTAAAAAATATTGTTTTAATAATTGTGTAGTTTCATCTCACCTGATATCATTTGTTACTAAAGATTGAGTAGATTCTACAGATTGAAGTAGCACATTTAATACTAACACGAATACTTGCACATTTGTATTGTTTAATGAAACCATTTGTAAACATGTACACGAGTTTACTTGAAAGAAAAGATATTAAAAGTTTCGTGGAGTAATTTTTAAATAATGTATTAAATAACATGCATCAATAACGATTAATATATCGTGAAGAGACGTGTTTTCTTGTATTCTATGTGCCTCCTTCTGTCAAGCACCTTTTCACTGCCATGACTAATAATGATGTCTTACTTCTTATTAAGAGCTGCAAAGGCACCTGTTGTCAATTATCATAACATAGAATTATTCCTGGCAAATATCATTTCAACGCAGACACCAGCTTACAAGACTTGTATACGACTAGTAACAGACTTGCATTCTGCGTACACTTAAATGCAGATCAGTATATCCAATTTATCATTTATAATCTCCTGAAGTACACATGATGTTTATTCTTCTTAAATTTATGTTGACTTAAGGGATACTCGTATTTTAGGAAGATTACTACAGTAAATGTATTCTCTACAGTAAAATTAGAAGAAAATAAGTAGCTTACTCCAGTGTTTCTCAACCTATTCTCTGCAGACTCGTGAACAGTCAAGAGAAGAACATATATTTAAAAAATTGAAAAATAAAATAAAAAATAATTTAATCAATTCTAGAGACGCGGCAACTCCTTCTTTTATTGGGGAGCTCCATGGAAGAATAAAGTTTAAGAAACACTGACTTATACTATTAAAATTAATATCATTGAGTGCATGAAACACTTTTTTTTATTAAACAAAAATATTAATTCGTTCATTGTAATAATTATTTTTTTTTCATTTTATAGATATTTATTGCAATTCAAAAGTTTCTAGTTTTTTCAATTAAATTTATTTTATTCGCCGACTCGATTTAAATTAAAATATGGTTAGTGTGAGTACAAAAGATTGAATAATTTTCTAGAGACATAAAGGAATTTATTTGTTTTGACTTATCAAAACACAAGTTTATAAGCACTAAATAAATGTAACATTAATGCTGTAAAAGATATTGTGTATTAATATAGGGGAGATAGAATTTTAATTTATGTCATGTTATACAAGTTTATAACTACAAGAATTCTTACTATAATTATACATATTATATAGGAATCATGATCACTTCATACAAATATAGTTTGCAATATATTTTCAACATACAGTATGTACATATATAATTCACACAAATTCACGAGTGAAAGGCACACGTTGAAATCATGATAGTTTAATCTTTATGTTCACAAACTCATTGAATACTGTTTTTTTATTTTTTTTTTTTTATTAAGAATAAACGGATTCAGTTACATCAAATTTATTTGAATATCTCTTATGATTTTATGATAATTCAATGAGATTTAAAATTTCCAAAAACATTTTCCATAAACATAATTAAAATATTGTCGCAAATATAACGAAAATGTAATTACAATTCTAGGGACATCATTTTCCATTATTTGTTCTATCTATCAAAAATATATCCCTCTTGTTTCATAAATTTTGTATCTATGGTAAATATTGTATGAGTTGACCTAATATTTCGTACCTTCCATTTTTAAGCCAATCCTTTTTCATTACGCAATTCTAATATATAAATAAATCTATCTACCTTCAAAGGAATAATTTTTTTTTTTTTGATAACAATGTTTACTTGTCCAAATACTAGTAAATTCGTTAGATTCAATGTACTCTTTGAAACAATTCTATAAATATATTTATTTAGGAAATTCTAAACTTGTTATAATTGTTGCTTATTTATCTGCGTATCGGTAGTTTTTTTTTCATATTTAAATGTAAATATAAGTGTTTTCAACATATTTACAGCCACACTCATAAAAATGTGCGATAATCTAAATTTACTTACAAAAGGAAACAGTACAAGATATTTATTAACATATAATGCAAACGAATATTTTTTAATTTTTATCAATTTAGTATAATCACAATATTCAATTGGAATATGAATTTGTATCTTTTAACTAACAAAGAATCAACTTCGTTTTTACCTATCGTTTATCGATACTATATTTACATTTACACGTTTACGAACGTTCGAAAATATTTGCACTCTATAAAAATTAATAAGTTTTATAAACGACATATTTTCGTAAAAAGAAATTAATAAAACAAAGATTATGTGTGTACAAGTTACTAATACACAACACAGAAGCACGTTGACATTTACACTGATCAATTCTGCACAGTTCTAATTTTATAACTTTCGAACACGCAAAAGATCAAACCTTTTTACATTCATGGTTCCATTGCACAGTACATTTAAAAACATTTTTCTATCTCAATTAATTTTTGCATCAAGATTTTAAAAGTTACGTTGCATATGGTATATCGGTAGTTATAGTTTCTGTCGATCGTTTAATACGTTTAATTCGTAGTTATTTATAAACTAATTGCTTTGATATATTGATTTAATAAATGCAACATAATATTTCCTAAATCTATATTTTAAAACGTGAACATTTGCGTCAATTATTGTATTATGTATTACATTATTGTTCTAGTATAAAAAAAAAAAACTAATATTATAATTTATAATTTTGCAAATTAAGTACGTCTATTAAAGAAATTCGAAGTTGCCGCGCTTATGCAGGGCAACTAAAAGCTCAGATGTGTGTAATCGTTAAGACATGTATAATATACACATTTGAATTGAAAACTAGTCTTATATTCTCAATCACAGCCGCTGAATAGCAACGTAAAGATTTCTATTACTTTTAAAATTTTCACGTGTTCTACAAATCTTTCGTCATAACTAACCTCTGTGAGTTTGATCTTAATTTCTATATGGCAATCAAAATTCTTATCTAAAAAAATGTTATTCGTTTTAAAGAAGTGTCTGTGCAGAATCATATGATGCGACATAAAATATTAAATGGTGAAAAAATTAGTTAAAAGTTTAAGCGAACTCCGTGATAAATATATTATGAGAAATGCCTAAATCTTTACTTAATATATAAAGAACGTACAATGATTGCATTTTTTTATTTGATAGAAAATTGTAATTTCTAAACATTACTATTGACAATCAAGAAATTAATTCTTTATTCGAATGCAAGATACTTTATCTCGTATAATTTGTCAAACGTTGCTTTTGTTATTATTCAGAAAGCATATATTAAATATCTTAAATTATAATGTCAAATTTATGTCAAAAAGTGAAACATATCTGTATGCATCGTACTTTCTAATATCACCACGGTAATAAATCAACCTATAGACAAAATAAGTTTCTATATTGTATACATAAGTATGTACAAATGGTACATGAACATTTTGCATGTTGCAAGTATATAAAGATTTCTCAATGGTTATTTCTCCCATCCATATTACAAATATTTCAATGCATTCGTTGTACTGTATCAGCTTAATTTCTTACCTGAAAAGCTTAGTGTCTACTTAAAAAGTGTACATATTGAGAAATTATTAATGGAAAAATGAAAATGTTCAAGTTACTTATGTTCAATGACTAGCAAATTGGACATCGAGCAACACCTTTAAACATGTATATCATCCTACTTTGCAATATTTTCTGTGTAAAACAGTAAATATCTACTAATATGTTTGTTTCCAATAGGATAACATTAGATTAAAAAAAAAATTCTTCATAATAAAAAACGAATGGATTAATTGTCCATACTTATAGAATCTTTGCCAAATAAATTTTAAGGGATGAAACTAATATATCATAGTTATTTCACATTCATATCTCGTTATTGTACTGTGCAATCCTACATATAATATTTACAAAAATATGCATCCCGCAAACGCTATCTATAGTAGTACTTTACATGCTCTCATTTCAAATTTAGCCAAAAATACTTGGCTTTTTGCATGTCTTAGGTTTTCTGTGATTTATTATGTACGAATCCAGATCTTGGTTTTAGTCAGGTTTGTATATGGGTATTTTTGGAATAAATTCAATTAAAAGAACCTGTAATGTGAAAGGTGAAATCAAATAAGTGTATGCCTATATGTAAGTGAAGATTGGTATATATACATATATATGAACAGCTCAGACAATGATGTAGCTAGTAGTAGTAGCTTGTTCATTCTAGTAAGGTTTCAACTATTTACATAATTAGGAAAGTAAACTTCTACAGAAACAAAAAAATATTAATGTGTACAATGATAGTACAATTTTGATACATTTTAATATACCTACAATATATGTTTTTTTTTTTTTTTTTTATAAACAAATCTAATAAATATGATTATTTTTTAAAAATCCTTCTCTTCAACTGACATACACTTTGACAAATTGATCATTTATAGGATCTATGTAGACTTTCTTGGCTGAGTGTATACACAGAGTGTGTTAACATTACTGACTCATATTTTGGGTAAATTAAAGTTTGTACCACGTTAATTTCATCTTAATATTTACTTACATATTCCATCATGGACGAAGTATCACATCTCTGTTTTGCCAACTTCCAATGCAATCCGAGTTTGTGATAAAGCCTACTGTTCTCCCATTCTAATAATTTGTTTAACGAGTGCTGTGTCTATATACAAATACAAAAAAAAAATATTGTATGTAAATTCATATTTTTATGAAAATAAGTACTCACCCTTTTACTCAAACAGATGACAGGCCAAAGAGAACAACCTAGTGTACAGCAGCAGCAAACACAACCACAGAATAACCACTTAACATTAACTGGTAAAGTTTTTTTGAGTACACTGTTCATCCTCATGACTGTTGCTTTAAATTCTTCTGGAGCAACACGTGACACCAGGCCATTTGGAAATTCTGATTCAAAACGATTGCTAAGCCCAAATCTAAAAAAAGTAATGCTGCTTATAATATACATATATAAAATTAAACAATGATCTTTCACATAAACAAAACAGGAATATACAAACACATTATAAAGTAAAATTGTTTGTAATGTTATTCTATTTTTCGTTTTTCTCGTATAGGTAAAGACATACAAACTATACAAAAGTTATGTTAGAAACATCAACCTTATTTACGTAATTTACCGTCTTTCAGAATCTGTATGTATTTTTAGTTCAAAGGACAGAGTACTGAGAAGAAAAAGAAACTTACATCTAACGTAATTTTACATATACCATTTTCGATTTGTCTCTCTTTGTTCTTCGAACGAAATATTAAATTACCATACATAAGAAATTCGAAGGACAATATAATCTTACTCACACAGTCATATTACCAGCACCACGAATAACAATAGGATCTGGCACCATCGTCACATAATGTTCTTCCAAATTCTGTTCATTTTCTTCCTCTTCTTCGTAGATCGCGTCGAAATCTGCCATTGTGTGATATTCGACGGTTCCCGCTCAACGAGCAACGCAACTATATCGTCGCGAAGAAACGATGTTTCTCTTCCAAAAAGGCTGACCTTTTTTTCATTTATATTCAACACAAAATCGCAACACGTCTACGTTGACGTTTATGTGTCACGGATAAACATTTTCACGGCTAAAAATGATAGGCCAGGTAACAAACTTTTAGTTGAAGATCGTTCGTACCAACACCATCAGCAACCATCAGATACCATTGTCATTGTCCATTGGCATTAGACCATTAGACACCATTCATAACATAACACAAGGGTAGGTATCTCATGGGGATTTTCCTGTGCCCCTTCGCTAGCGCCACACGTGGACCTACTCAGAATTAAATAATGACGGAGCAGCAATTACAGAGTTGAGCAAAACCCTAGACTACGATTACTTGAAGTTTGCCGATGTGTTTGTCTCGTGTTCTCTTTTGAACATTTTCCAAACATATTCCAACTGGTTATTGCCAACAAAGAAAATAAAGAAATTAATTATGTAACGGTGAAATAGTAATTAAAAGATGCATAATTATATCAGAATTTAATTTAATTTACTTTTGTTTCATTAATATTTACGTTAAAGTTTTTAGCAGTTATATTTGCAACGTTTTATGTCAATAATCATTTTAAGATCCTCTTTATTTATTTTCAAAAACTTAAAAGTAATTTTGAGTACTGTAGAAAAAATATTGTAAATCTGACAACTGTTTACACGGTTATGTCAGATTGTCTATTTTACGCTGAATGGGGGGTCCCCCCCCCCCCCCCCCCCAATCGTACTGTCATCGTCAGCTGACTCGTTGTCGATTCACTGTATCCGACAAGGTTGTTATGACACTTTTTTAATGCATTGTTACATCATATATTATGTTTACGACGTCGTGAAACGACCTTGTTGAGTGGAATATCGTTTCATTCGTTTTGTGTTCAATGGGAACGTCATTTGAACCCGTCAATCCGTCCGCTAAATCGAGGAACTTTAGCTAGGTTCGTCATAACCTAAAACAAAAAGTTCATCCACGCCGGATGTGACCGAGAAATAGTTCCGCAACAAAGTAGTGTTTGTCCTTACAGAAGTTCCAGCGGACTGTCTAGAAAATTATGTGATATTTTCTTCACTTCCAAATCCTTCAAAGTGATGGCTTCTATTTGTCGCCGATGGAGGCTATGGATTTTACCAGTTTTAACGTGTCTCTATGCGCTACTTATTATAATTGTGGTGCCAATTTTGTTGGCAAATTCTATTAAGAATGGTTTCGAACAGCAGGATCAAGGAGCACTCGTGGGTGGTGCATTCGTGTTGCTGGCACTGCCCATTGCTTTCTATGAAATTGTACAACACATGATATATTATACACAACCTAGGCTGCAGAAATATATAATAAGGTAAATCAGTAATTATTCGTTAAGTTTATTTTAAGATCAAGTTTGTCAATGTCTGGGAATTTAAAGGGAGAGTTAAATTCAAGTCTTTTTATGTTATTTCTCATTTCATGTAATGTTATGTTGTATATGTATCATAATTCACTATTTTATAACATATCAGATATTATTGTACAACTACTCTTTGTGTTAGACTCAAATGATATTTTATACAAATTAAAATAAAAATTTTAAGCAAAAGTACAATAAAGTATGTAGAATTTAACTGAAAAATATTATGAAGATGGTTTAATTAACTGTTTGCATAGTACATTTGTAAATAATAATCTTGAAAAAAAAATTTTCCTAGTACGTTATTTTTATGTCTATAATTGTATATACTAATTATATCATAACATTCCATCATTAAAATCTTTACAGGTTGATAACAACAGATAAACATCGTATATGATGTATCATAAAATAAATCTCTACATATCTGCAATACAATCTGAATGATCTTGTAGATTATGAAAAGTAGAGCTTCCTCTTTTTTTCCAGTGAGTTCTTCAATTATATAAAAAAATTTCAATGAAAAGATAATTGAACCTTTTTCATTCAGAAAAATACCAGAGTCTGGTTATACAATAAATAGCACTTACCTGACTATAAATACCTATAAAACATTATATATGTAATACATTGATCATTGACACAATGGCTAGGTTGTTATTTAAGTATACAGAACTGTACTGTAATTTGATGCTTCTAAGAAAATGTACAAGTTCATTTCAAACATTGTAAATAAAAATTATGATGGTATTAGGAAGCTAAATAAATAAGGTTTAATTAAGTAAAATATAAACTGTCAGAGAGTAAATAGTACCATGTTATTTTTTATTATGTCTTTCAAACTTTTATAAAATTTGTAGCAACTAATCGTACATATAAACGAAAAAACAAATCTTCCTTTCAGCAGTTGAAAAATCTAATTGTATTGTTAAATGTATCTTTTGTAATTGAATTATGTTCACAAAATTAAAGATCGTAAATGCAATATCTAAATTAATCATAATCTTTAAAACGATTAAATGTTAAAATATATCGGGTGCTTTATAAACACACGAAGTTTCAAAGTCATATTGTAAGTTTCATAAGTTCTAAAATAATTATGAATAAACATTACATAAAGAGAGATGAAAGTTTCTTGGCCATCTGTTAAGTAAAAGTAAAATATATTTATTTAATCTTCTTTATAATTTAAGCAACTAAAGAAGAATAGATGTATAAGATTATCAATTTTAAATTGACCAAGTGTGATTAATTCAATTTTACTGTTTATTTTAGGATATTATGGATGGTTCCAATTTATGCAGTAAATGCTGTAGGTTTGCACCTTCAAGTTCTTTTAAATTATATTGGATTGTACCATAATTAGTTATAATTTTTTAAGATTGATACTATTATTCTCACTTTTGTTTTAACATTTCAATCCATTGCATGTATAGTTATTTAATTACGTGAGTTTTTCTAATACTAATTAGAAAATGACAAGTAATTATGGTACAGCTCAGTGTAATGATATATTTTTTTCATTTTGTATATAATGTTTATCATATTTATACAGTGGCTTGGTCTGGTGTACCCTGAGGGCAGTATATATGTGGATAGTTTGAGGGAATGTTACGAAGCATATGTAATATACAATTTTATGATGTATTTATTGGCTTACTTGAATGCGGATCATCAATTGGAACACAGACTCGAAATGTCTCCTCAAGTACACCACATGTTTCCTTTGTGTTGTTTACCTGATTGGGAGATGGGAAAGGAATTTGTACATATGTGCAAACATGGAATATTGCAATATACTGCTGTTAGGCCTATATCAACTTTAATATCTTTGTAAGTCTTGTACATAAAATCGTCAGGCCTTCAGACATGGAAGCGTATACAGATATTTATCTCGATTAAAATATTTTTCAGTATTTGTGAACTGAATGGAGTATACGAAGAAGGTCAATTCAGAACAGACGTCGCTTTTCCATATATGATTGCTGTAAATAATTTATCACAATTCGTTGCCATGTATTGTCTGGTGCTTTTCTATCGTGCCAATGCAGAAGCTTTGAAACCTATGAAACCAGTTGGCAAGTTCTTATGTATCAAAGCGGTTGTGTTCTTCTCTTTCTTGTAAGTCTATGCACAAACATATTTTATTTATTTATGCATAAGACGTACGCTTAATATCGTATCTTCGTTTCACAGTCAAGGTGTAATTATAGCATTGTTGGTCTACTTTGATGTCATATCAAGTATCTTTAATACTAGCGATGTGGATGATATTAGAAATATATCATCAAAATTGCAGGATTTCCTAATTTGCATTGAAATGTTTTTGGCGGCTGTGGCTCATCATTATAGTTTTTCTTACAAACCTTTTGTAAATTTAGCCCAAGGACAAGCATGGTGGGATGCATTTAGGTAATTAAAACTATTATGCACAGTTGACTATTCCACCTTCTTACTGATATTATATATATTTATCTACCTTAAGTTTATCATTATCTTGTTAAAGTCATGGTACAGTTTACACCGATCTCTTAACTATTTACAAAGTACTTTTATTGCATAATTTGTAGAGCTATGTGGGACGTCTCAGACGTACATAATGATATTAAAGAGCATCTTGGCGTAGTAGGATCGTCGTTGAGTCGCAGGATACGTGGTCGCGGTGCTTACCAACAAACCTGGGGGAGTGCAACAGAACGTACGTCCCTCCTCCCAGAGGCAACTGTGACCACTGCTAGAAGTGCGCCTGCGTGTTCCTTTTCCGGTTATAATACATCGGAAACCGACGCGACGATCGGTGTCGTTGATCAAATTGCAGATGTGCAGGATACCAGTAACGGAGTAAAAACGTAACTTAGCAATGGTAAGTTTAATTAAGAGCATTGAACAAGGCCATTTTGTCTGGGACAATGTATTAGAGATTACTTTGTATCGCTAGCATTATACCTTTAAGCAGAGAAGTCTAGTTTTGCAACGAGCGTGCTCCTTGTACAATACAAATTTTCATTCTACCGTATGTGACGGACATAGTTATTCCGGGAAAAATACGTGACACACCGATACGAATTAAGAATTTGATACAATAACACGTCACTGATAAAAAAGTGTCGTTTATCTCGTCCATTTAATGAAAACGCTTTTTTCCTCTTAATTTGCGGTTAAACCATCGCCTCTCGAGTTACCAATAACGTACTACCAAATAAAGTACTACCAAATAATTGTATATAATAATGTTTATACTTAGAACAATATATCGGTGCAGTCCTATTTATAAACGTGTTGCGCTATTTATTGCTGGTTATCGACCCGAGAAGTGCAAAGCACATTTGTCTTCATCCATGCTGGACAGAGTTAGGCATTATTTCTATGATAAATTTATATTCGTGTGAAGATTCGGGATAAATAATGTGTTACTTGTCGCATCCGTTTAGATGTTGCGTTGACTTGTCTTGTGTTTATTGGAATTCTGCCCAACTCTAAATCGAGTATACCGTAAATAATGAGGAAAGAGAAATTAAACATTCCTGCCAAATATAATATCGTTGTCTAATTTTGTATTAGCTACGTCAAATATAAAATATACGACCGAGAGAAAAACTCAAATCAATACCGATTTTGATGTATCGACGACTAATGAAAATTAAGTTCGCATTGTCGAACTGATAACGGGTGAACCGTTTAAAATCACAAACTTTGCCTTGTGTCGTTAATACGTTGAATCACACTAACCCAAGTTTGCATCATATCGACCTATTTTTCGTGCATAAGTGGTGTTAATTATTATAGAGAAATATTTGATAAAGATGTTTTATTTTGTGTAGTTTCAGAGTGGCCGATAATTTCAACATTTTTTTACTTGGTCAATAAAAGTTTTTACGAAGAGATTAGGGGGTATTGCGAATTTTGAAGCCTACGAACTTTAAATATTTTATCGTATATCTGGACCAAAGATAGGGTATATTTTATGTCGAAGTTGGTATTTTCAGAATTTATAAATGCATTAGAACCACTGTAGCTTTTCTGGCTGATCCAGCGATTTACATGGTCAATTAAACTTCAAAGAAAAGAACAATATTTTTAATATGTTCCTACCATGTTGTTTGTAACTTTGTAGTATATTTGAACTATCTGGAGCAGCTGGAGCTGTCTATTAACACGTCAAGTGCTGCGCTGGTCTTTGTTCAGGTGAAGTCACTCCTTGTAGAATTTAAAAATGAATGTAATTTATTAAAATAATGTAAATAAAGGTAGAGGTTTTCTTTATAAACATTACAAAATGTTCCAACGTTTTTCATTAAATTTTTCATAATTTCCCGTTCAGATATCCGTTTATCACGTTTTTTACTAATCGATTTCGGTTATATCTTACTGATAATATGATGTCTGGTCAGTATTATGTGACATAAACGGAAAGTAGAACAAAATAAGCTTGGCACTTAACGTGTGAATATGAATTTATGAATAATAGGAATAAATTTCATCAAAATACGTTGTAAAACTTTACGTACCATGAGAAGAAATCTTTTAGAGATAGATTGCGTATTTTAATAATCTCTACCACTTTTGTAAAAAAGCATATCTCAATTTCATAAGAACTTGACAAGTAATTCTGTTGAGTGTCGGTGACAAATTTCTTGAGCGAGCAAGTATTACACGATGAAAGAAACTTTCAAAATAATGTCTATACAGATAGAATTATGTCTATGGAGTAATATTTGTCATGTTTCTTTAATCTGTTTATATTCATTTTGTTCGTTAAAATAGAAGAATCAATTTTATCTCTTAGTACAAATATTTTATTCTTATATAACGTATTTTATTTTCGTTATATATGCTTTAGAAAATGTTCAGTAGATGTTTGTTTTGCATCTAAAAAAACGTTTAGAAATACTCGATATGTATGTTTTATTCTTTTATTTCAATCATTTGTCTACCCATACAATGCTCCTGTTTGTTTGTATGCATAGACGTATATACAAAATGATCATTGTTATCTCCCTATTCATGTTCAATGTGTATAAGAATTAAATACATTTTTTATTTTATATCTACAATCAATGTGTTGTCATACATATGCACCACTCAATGTGTCTATACATCATGTGTATATGAAGCAGTATCTGGAATTTTTGTTATCTGCTTTGGTATAATCGATAACGGACACTAATAATATTGTATTCGGATTAACTTTTCACGAAAATGTAACCAAACATCCAATCCATGAACTATTTATATATTTATAAATATTATTTGATTATTATGAGAGTCCAGTGATAATGTTACTGTTATAACCGTACAGCGATTTTGTATGTCGGAACTTGTGTCTCTATACAGTTTCTCGTATAAATGAATGACTATTAATGTCTAGCCCGCCGCTCAATAATGAACAAAATAAATTACTACCTAAGCATTCGTACATCAGCCACCAGGGCTATCATGCTATTTATCACATATGCACCTCTGGTTTCAAGTATGTATCTACATCCTTAATTTATCCTTTTCATTTCTCTTTATTCAGTACTTGAATGAATTCCTCGAGTTTCTCTTGAATCTGTCTAACGCGTTCTGGAATAAAAAATAAGTATAACGAGATTGAAATTTTAGCTTTATATAACTCAATTATTTAGTTAAATGTTTTGAATCACATAGTATTTAAAAAAAAAAACTCACTGAGTTCCTCTGCCAATGTGACTCGTCTACCCGTTAACAAATTCTTTTTAATTTCGGTATCTTGACTGTAATCTTCCAGCACCTCCTTGATTTCTTTGTCTAATCTACGGGCTTCGCGATTCATAATTTGTTGTCTGAGTGCGTTGGCAGTTACTTTCAACATTTGTTGAATCCTCCAAAACAGGACGACATCGTTACACTCCATCTGCATTACAAAAAAAAAAAAAAAAAAAAAAAAAAAAAAAAAAAAAAAAAAAAAAAAGAAACATTATTGAAGAAGATTTCGGAATAAATAAATATAAAACTTCTCAAACAATTCTCATTTTACATACTTCACTTTCGTGTCCTGTATGGTACAGATAATATCCTTTTTTGCAATCGTATGCCCTGGCCAAACTTTGTTGTAGAAAAAATCTTCTGTAAACAGGGTGCCACGTTTCTCGAATAAATTCGTTATCAACTTCTAGACCGTTTCGTTGCAAATTTTTCCTAATCGTTGTGAGTTCATCTTGCGTTAAAGTGGGAGCATGTTTCTATCAACAACAAAAATATATTAGTACTTTTCTTTTTAAAGAGTAAATAAGACAGTAAATAATTGAAAGTTTTTACTCTCTCTTCTTACTTTATCCGAATACAGAATTTTATCCAACTCATTTTTCACCAATGTGCGGTTCTGTTGCTCTTCGCTTTGACTCTGCCAATAAAACCATCGTTCTTTTCGGCCAGGACCAAGCATTTCACGTAGAATTTGCTCCGTAGCTTGCAGTTTCTCCTTGACAGATGTCTCTAAGAAACGTACTGCTTGATCCCAGTCCCGTTTATCGTTGACACTTCTGTCTTCCAAAGTATTCAATTGGATAACGCGTAACATTTCAGACGCCTGGAAATATTTGTGTTTATATACATTTACTTAATTCAGCGTGAATAGTAAGATGCAAATAGCTCGATAAACTTACTTTGTCTTCCCAGGAATGTCGTCTCATCGCTTCGTTAACGACTGCATTTTTTAAATTGTCAAAAATGTCATCGTGATCAGTACTTAGTCTTGCTTGACTCATGAAATGGAGAAACTCTTGTTGCAAGCATTCCCAACCGCTTTCGACACTCCGTGCTGGTAACTGTTGTTCCGCCCATTGTCGAAGTTTTATGTCAACAGTTGTGTTAAATGTCCCTGAATCGAAAAAGGTTTATTATCGTCGCATGCACACGAGGTACTCCGCGAGGTTATCATGTAATGTCCGTACCAGGATTTCCACTTTGAGCAGCGGGCAAGTAGATATTCTCGAACACGTGCATGCTAACTTTATCCCAAATTCTGGTCATCAATACTTCCTCCCAATGTCTTGGTGAAACTTGGGACAAATTCACAATCTCGTCTAATATTTCTCCTCGTGCTTTCTCGAAGAGTTCGTCTCGATCCAATTCTCTCAGTCTACATAAGACGTAAATACGATAATTTCCTTAAGGACAGTCTAGTGTCATCTCGGATACAAAAACTCGATTTTTTTCGCAGTCGAAATGTTTACCTTGGGAAATTATTTTTCCATTCTGTTTCAAGATTGAATCTGGTTGCTTTAAAGGCATCTGCTTGTTGCTCTACAGTCTCGCGAACCATTTTCCAAAAACATTCCGCGACGGCGAGACTAAGATTTCTTGTGGTAACTTGACCGGACATAGCGAAACCATCTCTATTCAAGAATAGTGAAAATGAGGCAATGGAAAAAGTTTTATTGTATGGAGTATGCCAAAATGTACATCCTGTATGTATACGTGATTGTGTCTTACGCGAATACGTACTTAAAGAGCTTCGAATTTCTGAAGAACTTTTCCTCGTAATCTCGAATCGTTTGTATGCTGTCATTTTGTTTGCCACGACCAGTGACAACAGCGAAATAGCCTAATGCTTTCATAGGGAATAGTTTACCAGACAATATTTTACGAAGTCGTTCGGGATTGGCCAAATTCTCCTCTGCTAGATCCACCTATCAATGAAAATGTACTGTACAATTAATCGCCTTAAACCTAAAACTTTTCTAATAAGAGGTATAATTTTCAAAAAATAAAAATTCTAATTTCATTATACATACCTTCGTCAAGACAAAAATGGTTCGTTTACCGGAGGGATCCATATGTGCCACGAGGTCTGTCACATTACTTCTTTCGGCATCCACCGATCCATCTTGGATGCAGAGAATAATCGCATTAGGATTGCTCATGTATTGCTGAGACATTTGCCGAATTGCATCTCGAGTATCTTCTGCCATGTCGACTGTAACTGTCTGTTTGAAAAGTTTTGTCAATTTCAAACATTCTCTCGGTATATCGAATTGAATTTGAATTTTTTCATTATTTTGTTTTCAAATGATTCCTTACGCTGATTATGCCAGGTAAATCAACCAGAACCATGCGCTGAAGACCCGGTCCTTTGACTGTCATTGAAATTACATCCTGACTAACAGTCTTTCCATTTTTAACACTGTTTTTCATGCGTATCTCTACCTCGCGCCTAAGTTCAGCTAATTCTGACTCTTTTGTTAGATCGAATTCCCTTGAACTATCTTTGAACTGCGCTATATGATAGGGACCCTCGCTCAAAGTGACCTTAACAGGAGCTCTCGTCATCATCTCACCACCACCTCTGAAATGTGATTATCTTTTTTGACATTACTTTACAAAATGAAGCGGCGCGTTTGATTACCTTGGAAATATCCTTGCTTGAGCAATCATTTCTAATACAGATGTTTTACCAGAACTTTGATCGCCAACGACCACTACCCTCGGTAAATGATCAGCGATCGAATAAGCACTATCGTAATCGCTAAGTTCGTCTAGAACATCACTGTACATGTCGATTAAAGATTTCTAGAAAAACGTACCATTACAAAATTGTAAAACAAATATTAAATTTTGTATATGAAAAGTATATATTGTGGTTCAAGTACTTTTATCTTTTTGTTGCTCAGCTTTTGATTGCCGCGTAACAGCATTTGCTTTCGTAACTCTTTATTTTCTCTTTCTAATCTTTCGAGTTCACGTTGATACTTTAATTGTATTTGCATCACTTCCTCTTGCATGGCATTTAATCTCTCTTGCGATTTTTCTTTAAAACATAATCACGACATGTATAATTGCAAATTTCAAATATTTGAAAAGAATAGATTATAATACACTAACATGTACATACGAGCTTTCTTACGTTCCTCTTCAACATTATCATCAACTAATGGCCGAGCAAACGCTACAGTACTGTTCGAGAGTTGACCCCTTGTTTCTGTTTCAGAAAACATTTAAATTTAAATAATGCTTTAGGGCAGCTAGCAAGAAAGCTGGTAATTTATAATAGTAACACTTTGCTAATAAGAAAAATAATTCGTAAGTGCGGATATTCATTACAGTTATCCTTGCAAACAATGGCTGCTTAAAGTGACCTATAAATTACCTTATCCAATGTATAAATTTTAGTTTAATTTCATGAATTATTATGTAGTCATAGAAAAAATCAATTTCTATTGTATGATGATCAAGAATTCCAGCAGAGTTTTAGTATTACTTTTAATTTTGCATGAAGCCATGCACGTGAAGATTGGCAAAGTGTTAATATGAATAAAACATTTGACATTTCTGATACACTATTTAATATAGTGTATCTAATTTAAATGATGCTTGGCACAGTAATTAAAAACTACCTTAATTTTAATAAAAATAAGGTGGAAAAGTAATGATGATGAAATAGATGAATGGGTCTGTCCCATTCAGTATTTAAATTTCATACTTTCATATTTATTCGAATGACAAAAAACACAAAATACTGTTAGTTCTATTTTTCCGAATGCATTAGAATTATTACACGAGTTAGATTTATTCTAGAATTATTTATGAAAGAAAAAATAACAAAAAGAATGCTGAATGGACAGACAATGAAATGTTGATAATTCCAAATTTGTTTACACACCTGAATAAAGTTGATTTACTATTGCTGAGATCGCGTCAAATATACCTGAACAGAACAGACCATAATAAAATATTTCTAGATGAATATACAGTGAAATTGTATTTAACATATACGTGATTGACTTTGTACTACAAAACAATACATACAAAATATTATAAAGCATGTTAATTTCATAGGTTTTGTCAGCTTCTGAATAGAACTTAATTTAAAAATATTCTCATTTCTCATGCCGTTTTAAAGAATTGGAGACATTTCACATACGTTATAATATAATAATACTATTAATAACTGTATAAAACTTTAAAATATTAATCTTTACTTTTAGCATGTCTACATTGAAATTTAATATTTTATTTAAGGATCATAAACTTCATTTGTTAAATTACCTAACATACATTTACTGCAACTTGTTTTAAGCTTACTATGCCATAGTGTAAATAAGTTAGACATGAATATAAATAACACTGGATATTTTTTATATTAAATCATTAATGTAGTACAAAAGTTATGACAAAACTATAAAGGAGAGCAATGACAATAATAAAAAAATGGTTAGGGAAGAAAACATCAGGCATATGAAACTAATTATAGCAATATGATAATAACATTGATGGTGCGACTTTCAACGTGCAATAATATGAAAATAAAAAAAATTCTATATTCAACTCACGATTAGAGAACAAATTCACATCTCGCTCATTCTGATCAATTTCCGTTGCTTTAATAGCATCATCCAGTCTTTGATTAAACCACTGTCTATACTCTTTATATTTAGCTTCCCCATATTGCTTTAGACGTGGATCTGTTTGTTTGTCCATTTTTTATAGCTTCAGTTTTCCTTACTTTATGTGTCTATGTACTTAAATATTAGTATGAGTTTTGATACTCACCAAGCTCTATTTTGTCTGCTATGGTATTCTTAACTGTCATTAACGTGCCACGAAAGTTTTGCCATTCATTTTCATTAGGGAGAATATCATCCAACCAGCTCATGTCTGGCAAAATTTCTTTCCATTGCTCATATTTCTTACAAAAAAACGGAGAATAAAACAACATTTATTATAACTATAGACACTGCATGTAACCAACTTTTAAGGAAATAGGTTTGTAAGCCAAAAAATGAAATAAAATACATATTTTAAAATATTACAAATTTAATGTAGATATGGTAGTTTTTGTAGAAGTGAATGGTTTAATAAAATTAAATTATACAAAAATAAACAAAGCAACATTAGTGCAACAAACAAAAATATATATATTAAATTTTAAATGCATTTATTGTAAAAAGTTTTGGTTATCTATAATTCTTCTTCCTTCTTAGAGCAGGTCACATATATGTATATCAAATTGCTTTAATGATTATATTATTTTCACCTTTTGTAATGTTACTCCACCACCAACTGCACCTCCCAATAAAAGATACCGAATTTTTAATGCTCCTCTTAAAACTCTTCCTATAAACATGGCATATGCACGATTTGGATTTCCAAAATAACGTACATGTGGCGATGCTAATAAGGGCCGATATACTTTGCTCATTCTACCCGATATTATGTTTCTTGTCCATACTACAGAAACTGGATATCGCGATTTCTTTGAAACTAACAGTATGCTGTCCCTAAAAAAAAGAGAATTTAATACTTTATGTGAGATAGTATACAAATGGTACAACACAGGTATACACAGGATGGATATAATTTCTCATAAAAAAAATACCAAAGAGAGAAACTGATTAACTGTTACAAGCGCTATATTATAACAAAGATGACGTACATCACTTAAGAAAATTTTAAAAGTTTCATAGATTTGATCTGATATTAGAATATAACCTAAAAGTTGCGAAACTTGGCAAGTAAACAGATAGTGCAAGTATGTCACGAAACTTAATATAGATTGTAACCAACTCGGAAATGAAATGTTTTCTTTTAATTAAGTTTGTGCCATTAGTCATTTAAATGATCTTACCCTATTTTTCCACAAAGAATTTGCTTCATTTTGCGGGATACTGTTCGGCAATGAAGGATGAAAAAACGATGATTAAAATTAAGTTTTCTCTGCGAAATGCATATATCAATCCAAAGATGTAAAACTTTTCTAAAATCAAATGAAGCGTGTTGTTTAGATTAACTATTCATCGTTTCATATCCGAATCCACGATGTCCAAGCATAGATATAATATATACATATATATTATATCCAAGTTTTTAGTTAGTTGTTAGTTTGTAGGTGGCGCTAGAAGACATTGCAGTAAAAACCTCCAAACTAAATTCTAAGTAAATGTATACAGCAGTGAGGACTGCAACGTTTGATCCAATGCGCATGATCAGGAAAAATCCCACGAATGTCCATCACTGTGTCCCGTCCTTCTGACACAATCTAACATCTCCTTTACACTTCCTGACATTTCCTGACAGCTCCTAATACACATCAACAACTCCTACCACCCTCTAACACCTTCAAACACTCTCCTGTCGTCTCAAAACACCCGCTAACACCCCCCCCCCTAATATCTCTTAACAACTCCTAGGGCTCCAGACGGTTCCCTTTATTTCTCTTCAATTTCTAGAATGTTTCCTATTAATTTCCCTGGCACATCTCTTCGCTGTTAATCAGATCCGGATACAATAGGTAAGTTTCGAGCCAGAATAAAAATTATGATACCTTCTCGATCAACACGTTCTCCTAATACAAGAGGTAAGTAATCGATATTCAATTAAAAGTCACGCCAAATTTTTCTTCTGGTATCAGGTGAACATGATGTGCGAGGAGGTGACACGAGGAATTCATGGTACGTATCGAAATTTTGAGGAAATTTTACATTTTAGTATCAAGAGAACATGATATTCAAAGAAATAGCATAACTTTTAATTAAATATCGATACTTACCTCTTGTATCAGGAGAACGTAATGAGCGAGTAGGTACCATAATTTTTATTTTCTGCTCGATACTTACCTCTTGTATCAGGAGAACGTAATAGGCGAGTTAGTATCATAATTTTTATTTTTTGTTTGAAACTTACCTTTTGTATGAGGAGATCAAGATGAACGAGGAGGTGGCACTAATCGAATTTTACTTCTGATATTATAAGAACATGATATTCGAAGAGCTGAAATAAGTTTTAATTCTAGCTCGAAACGTACCTTTTGTATCAGAGTCATATGAACAAAGAGGGAGATCAAAGAAAGTTTGATTCCTTCTATCTCCGGGTCTCCAGTCGCAGCAACCTCCACGTGGTGAGACCTGGTAATCGGTCTTATTCGTGACGAACAATCCTTCGTCGCGAATAATATCGAGAGCTAATGGCTGCGAACTTTTTCTTTTGAAAAACATATACCAATGTTCAATTTATTTTGCTTTCTATCTAATGTTGACTACAATTATTTTCAAGATCTGTGATCAATTTAGATTTATTTAAGTTCGCTTTAAATTTGCTACATCAAAGCTATTCCATGTACCACAACTTTGAGATACCCTGTATATACACGTTACATTGCAGAATAATGTATAAAATTCTACTATTCGTCTCCTTAAAGAAGTGACTCTCGCAAGCAAGGTTTATCATTCATTCCATAACATGTACCATCGGTAGTGATTCTTTGATGATTTTATTTTCCTTTGCAATCCTTATATTACAAAACATACTTTTCCAGACACATTGAAAATATGCTCTATGTACATCGGATTGTTGCCTAGTTTTTTTGTGCTAAACATTTTTTGTCATCGCTGTTGTTCTAGTTGTTCATCTTTACAGGAATAATATTAACCCTTCGCGGTCCTATGTCGAGTGAAGCTCGAAATTAGAAAATCTGGACAGCAAAGGGTTAACAACTATTCGCATAGGCTTTCGTATATAATAATATGATTATGGCAGTACATTTACATTAAAGTCTATGTTTTTATAATCATTTCTGTTATACATTCAATTATTCTCTCATATTTATATTTATATCTTTATTCATTTATTTATAAATTGTTTTATGTATATATATAATGTATACATATAATATATATACATATACACACGCACATACACGCACGCGCGTACACACACACACACACACACACACACACACACACACACACACACACAAAATATGAAAAACTACGGTACTTATTGTTAAATTTATGTGCATCAACTAGGCATACGAAAGGAAAGTTTCTAACTCTTCTCTTTGCGTTTATCATAAGCTTCATCCTTAAATACGTGGCAATCATCAGGCTTTTCGATGATGTAACGTGAGATCTAGGAATTCGAACGCATCAAACGGAAACAAAAGATTTTGCATCAAATGGTTGATGATGCTTTAAGCAGTTTTTCGAAAGTAGATTTTCGATTGTGACATTCACAAGGAAAACTTGTCAGGTCACGAAACTATCGCGACAGTTTCGTATTTCGTTTTTGCGATATGTACGAATGACAAATAAGCTGTCAAAAGCGCGCTACTCGATTGGACCCCAATTTTACATCGTCCTTCAAGAGCTAAAATCAGTTGTCATCATCTGATCTCTCTGTTTTCTGCATCAATAACACGTTTCCCATTTGTTCTTCTCGTTTTATTTTTTCTTTTTTATTTATTTTCTCTGATTTGTCACCCGACGATCCGCTACGTCAACTAAAACGTTACAAATGTTCTAGGTATTGTCTAAAGGTGCTCTTTTTCATACACTTTTTTCTGTTTCTTTTAATTTCTGCTATTTCTCACATTCAGTCTAACGTTAGATTATATTTATAGTATTTATATTAGCTTGGAATCATTATATCCTTAAAATAATACGAGCTTGTTTTTATCGTTAACGTCAAGCTGCTATGTACAGGTTGCCCTTTTCGTAACGCAACACTGTCGATTCGGTTTCATACCGTAAATGTGAACCTCGCGACGCGTCTAATTATCCCAGACGCGTTTCTCAACAATGTACGAACGAAAGAATACCGAATTTCTTCTTGGCAGTACGTCACGTGTTGTTCATCGTTCGATGGAACAAAATAAGCGTCAATTGTAACAATCAAAGCGTCGCGTTTCTTCAACTAAGATCATCTGCCATGAATGAAAGAACATTTAAAAAAAGAGAAGATGATAAATAAGTTCACGCGAAAGCTTGAACGCGAGCGTCGTATACTTGAAAACGAACACGAAGAAATGTAACAAATTGCTCTGGCCTCTATGAGATAGTCTTTTTCCTAATCGTGTCGATTCTAATCGTAAACATTACAGACACGAAAACCAATTACAAATTGTTCCTTCGCCGTTTGCTCTTCGGCAACGGTTGACGATTTCGACTCATGTTGGTATATAGCAACGAAATCATCCGTTTCGATGAACCTAATTCCTTTGTTTACCGTCGCGAACCTAAGACTAGTATCAAAAGACCTAGTTACGCTACATCTATTTAGAAAAGTCTCTTCTAGTTATCTCAACTGTAATCCTGGTATGCATGTGTAAAGAAATCCAAGTTCTGAATCTCGAAAATTAAAACAATATGTTCTTCAGAGTGGTTCCACACACCGTAGTAAACCTGTAGTTCGAAATGCGTATCAAAACTCGCTGCTTTTTTTCTATTTGGTCGCTCATCGTATCTCGAGCGATTTTTTTTCTTCGCGAGTGTCGTTAGCGCTCTCTATCGAGAATCACTGATAATCCAGTTGTGTCTTTGACTTTAGAAGAAGAATAGTGTATTCCTTGAATATTTCATACTGTTTCGCATTTTCTACTCTATCATTCATATTGTAGGAGAGTCACGTTATTTGCCCTGATTTTAGCGAAGGAACTTCTGTATACTCCCTCGACGTGTTCCTGGTCACCTGAAAAATCTCATCGTCGAGACACGTTCCATGTTTCTTTCACCTCCAGTATTACGATCATTGTCGTCGATCACCAATGATCGAACCATGTTTCCCAGGCTTCAAAAAAGCTAATATGCTCAACGGTTTCTAGTCACTTCAACGAATCTAATCATGAAACACGTATCAAGAGGTGCTGTTTCTATGCTTTTTGCTCTTCGCCTTGCCCGGCTCAAACTCATCCTCGCTTCTCCGTCGTTTCTCCTTCAGCTGCTTCTCCATGGCGAGCATGGTTATCATCCTTTTATGGGAGTCACCGACGATCCAGCCGTGTTGTTCTTGACGATCGTCTTCTTCCTCCACCGTAGGAGCTACCTCGAGAACTTCTTCTTCATCGCTCGAACTGGACCAATAATACAACTGATTCGCGGCAGCACGTTTCCGTCGTCCAATCGCCACTCCAACCCCTTCTTCAACTTTATTCCAAGATTTCGTCGTCTTCAGCTCCTCGTCATCCGAATCTCGTCTACCACTGGAGGATCTGCGTTCTTTTTCTTTCGATCCCTTTGAATCCGTTCGATTCTTCGACTTGTCGGCTACTGTGATCTTGCACTTTTTATTCGTAGTCGAGACTTTCGCATCACCTTTCGGATTTTTCTTCGGCTTCGTTGGAGACTTGGAGTATTTCTTCTGTTTCTCAGAGGACTCCTGGTTGTTCCCGTCCTCGTGATTGGTCTCTAGATGCGTGGATTTGTTGGTATTGTTCTCCGGATCACTTGTAACTTCTTCGTTCTTTTTAACGAAAAGGTCTTCCTCCGTTTTGTTTGATTTCTTTTGTTTCTCCTTCGTCTGATGTTTCTTTTTTTGCGTTTGATCCTGAACAGTTTTATCATCGGATAGTTCTACGCTCTCTGGCTCTTCCGTACTGTTCAAGTTCACTGGTGTGTCTCCAGAATTTTGCGAAAGAGACTCCTTCTTCTTCCCCAGCTCCCGTAGGATCTCCTCCTCGATGGCCTTTTGTTCCTTGGCTATCATTTGTTCGTGTTTCTTTTCTATGTACCTCTCTTTACGCTTCTCTTTCGATTCTCGTTTTGGTTTACGTGGCTTCTCGTGGTCCGGTTTCTCGTTGGTTTTCTTACTATCCTTTGGACTCGTTTCTTCATCCGAGCTGCTTATCTCTGCCAGCAGCCCTTGCTTGCCAATGGCGCACTTTCTCTGTCTCCTAGTTGGTTGGAAATCCATGAGGATCCTTTCCTGTTCCTCTTGCATTTTCTTTAACTGTTGCTCCTTTCTTTTCTTCGACTCTTGAACCTTCCTGCTCAGGAACACATGAAGGGGAAGGTTGTCGGATTCTTTCTGTGGTTTCTCGTTGGTCGACAATTTTTCTGGCAAAGCGAGTAGATCATCGTCCTGCTC